TGATTCTCAATTTAAATAAAAGGAGGGGTACAGTAAACTATGTTGTTATGAGACCAAAATTAAACTTTGGAAAATTTAAACCCTTCTCCACACCTCTCCCCCATAAATGCATAATGGGGAAAAAAAGGTCTTGGTAGTTTGCTTTTATAAAATATACAAAAATAATTTTTACTAAATTTATTAAATGTAGTGGTTCAAAATTCCATAAAGTCTTTAAAAGAGTAAAATACATTATTTTAGTGATGTATTTTTCTCCCAACCAAAATACATAAATAAAATATTTCTACTGAAGACTTTTGAGATACCAATACAAATAGGTGGTTGTTATTTGATTTCTTGGCTCCTCTTGATAAAGCAGGAAACCAATGGTCCCTTCTGGTGAAGTCTTTTAAAGTAAGTACCTAAATATGAGAAACTGAAAGTCAGTTTACATCCAGAGTTGTCTGAAATATAAAAGGCAAGTTGATTTTTGACATGCTTTGAGTCCTTCTTCATGTTAATTAGGAGGTCTTACATTATTTGGTGAATGGGGGTTCCCTGCTCTCTTGATGACATAATGAAGAGAGGTTTGGGAAGTTGGGAAGTTGGTTTGGGAAGTTTCCATCTCTGTAGAAATGAACAAAAACAAATATTTTGAAAGCTATTAACATAATCTTTAAATGTAGGCAGATGCTAAACATAAGTGATTATAAAGATAGTAAACCATTTCCCTTGTTCTGTAGGCTTTGATATTTTTCCTACAAGATAGTACTTCATAAATTGCCTGGTGGAAATATTACCCAAAAGGTTCATTCAGGAAAACAAACTGGAAATTTCTGCCTAAATATTAAATAGGCAAAAATTAAATAGTCTTGCCTTCTTTACTCATAAAATTGTAAGTAGTACACTTCTAATTGTATTTCTTGAAAAATTAAGGATTACAAACCACTTTGTGTTGAACCATTTGGTTTCCTTCCCCAGTCCTAGACTTCTGAAATCTGTAGACTTTTCACTATTTGCATTTCAGGACAGACCCTTTATTAAAAAAGCACAATTTCTCAGGTGCTTCCTTACTTTACTACTCTGCATTTGAAGCAAGGCATGCTTTTATTTTAAGATTTGCTATTTCAGTCATGAAATAAAGCAAGTCTAAGAATTTTAATAACTCCTCCAAAAAAAAATCAGCTCTTTAGTAACACAAATAACAACTACTCACTGAATTGTTTTTTTTTTTTTTAATTTGTCCTAGGATTAAAGACAAGCCAAAAATAACCATAGGTTGAGTATTTTTATTCTAAAATTTAATATTAGCCAAATATATCTACAGGCCAAGCCAGAAAAGAGTAGCGATTAATAGCATACCATACCCAGGAGTCGGTCAAACAGGGTTTGAATCCTGGCTATGCCTTTCTAAGCTGTGTGGCCAACCTTGGGGATTTACTTTACCTCTTGATCTTCTCAAACATGGGGACAATAAAAATACTACTATAGAAAAGTACTGTGGGGATTAAAAAAAATGAGAGCTTATGATAAAAGTGCTTGGTATGATGCCTGGTAGATTGTCATCTGTATGTGTTAGGTTATTATTATTCTCAAATGCCATGTAGAATGGAAATCTAATTTTAGAATTTAGGATAAAAGGGAAACATCCCTAAAAATATAAATTCCTTATCAATATATATATTAATGTCTTCTTATATGCTGTATTTTCTCAGGGGATATCATAACTTTGCATTTTTACAACTATAATTCATTATAAGAAAATTACAGTTATTTATAAAAAAAACTATTGGGTTAAAATTTTATAAATGAGTAGTGAAGAAAAAGAATGTCCATTTGTTTTTTAAACAATTGGAACTAGCTCCTTACCTATCTATTAACTACTTGTAATTATATTTATAGTATTGTGAATTAAATTGTCATTGGCAATCTTACAGACAGCAAGATGGTTTTCATTAACCTGAACTACAAAAAGAATAAATATATAATGAAGTGGTTGCTCTAAAATAATCCTGGTTACATTTTAATTGATTCAATTCTTATGACAAACAATTTTGTAAATTCATATTCATTAAAAGCCATAGAAATGTAAATACCATAGGACCCAGGAATAACCCAGAAGAGATTATGAGAAAAAGATGTTAAGGGAAATTTTTTTCTTCATTTTTTCAGTAATAGCTTTACTGATATATATTTTACATAATTTACAAAATATATTTATATATATATTTACATAATTTTACAAATATATTTTACAGAATTCATAATTCATCAATTTAAAGTGTACAATTCACTGGTTTTTAATATATTTAGAGCAAACATCACCACGATCAATTTCAAAACATTTTCTTCACCTCAAAAACCAACCCAATGTCCATTAGCTAACATCCCCTAAACCCTTGTCTGTCGCCAGCCTAAGCAACCACTTTCTGTCCTTATAGGTTTGCGTATTCTGGAAATTCATACAAAGAGAAGCATATAATATGCGACCTTTTGTGATTGGCTTCTTTCCTGTAGCTGGTTTCAAAGATCATCCATAGCACATACGAGAACTTTCTTTTTAAGGCTAAGAAATATCTATTGTACAGATTTACTACATTTGACTTGTAGGTTCATCAGTTGATAGCTGTCTTAGTTTTCTGTTATAGTAAAATAACTGAGACTGGGTGGTTTATGGATGAGAGAGAGAGAGAGAGAGAGATTGGTTTCTTTGGCTGGTAGTTCTGGGAGTCCAAGAGTATGGTGCTGGCATTTGCTTGGCTTCTAAAGAGGGCTTCCTGGTGGTGGAAAGGGAAATGGGTACATGTGGAAGGGAAGAAGAGATCACTTGACAAGAAAGGCATCAAGCAAGGGAACCAAGGAAAATGAACTCATCTTTCAACAACTTTTTCTTTCAAGAATTAATCTATTCTCATGAGATCTGACCATTAAAGACATGAATCCCTCTTTAAGACTTCACATCTCACAACACACAGAGGGGACACAGCCTCAGCATGAGGACAAACCATATTCAAACTATGAAGACAGATCTTTGAGTGTTTTGCTTTTTGCCGACTATGAGTAATGCTCTGTGAACATTTGAGTATTTCTTGAGTGGATAGATATTTTCATTTTTTTTTTTTTTGAGTGTACATACACCTAGGAATAGATCCCCGCGCCCCCAGGGGATTGAATCCAAACCCTTGCACATACTAGGAAAGCACACTATCATTGAGATACACTTCTAGCACCTATTATTCTTACAAAAGTGAAAATAAGCAATATTTTTTGGCCCAACAATGGAATTATACTACTTTTATGCTTAAATGTTGGCTATGTAAAATTAAGAACACTTTATACGGAAAAAGGCTACATGAAGGGAAAAAGCAAGACACAAGATAACCTAGGTGAAATCCTTCCAAGGATTCCCATGGGGTTTCCCAATCCATACTATCTTATGGATCTGTTCCCTGCCTTCCTATATGGCCTGGGCTCTGCCCCTCAATTCTCTGAGGGCCTGCCACACTAGTTTCCAGGGACTCATCACAGTGTCAGCTTTAGAACCTTGGCACATGTTACTTCCTCCACCCATCTCATTCTTTGCCCACTTCTTTGCCCATCGGTGGTTTCAAGTCTCATTTTAAATGTCACTTCACCAGAGAAACCTCTGATACTCCAAACTAGGCTACTGGTAACTGTTTCCATAGCAGCCTGCAGTTTTCCACTTTAATACTTTTTGATACTGGTAATTGTTTATTCACTCAGTAATCAAATATTGAGTCTTTTACATGTACCTGATAAAAGAAACCATACAAGATTCCTGCTATCTGTGATCTTATATTCTAGGGAGGGGAAGGCACAAATAAACAAATGAATGCATTGGGTAATTTTAGGTATTGATAATTAGCTCAACGGCTACCTCTGCTTGGACTGTAAACTCCTTGAATACAGGAGCTATTTCTTTCTTGGTTACTTCAACATTGCTAGTCTGCTGAATAAACTCAATGCTGTATGACTTTTTTTTCTATTGTTATAACAGGCATATGGCAGACAAAGATGGAAAACCCCAATGAGGTTATATTTATAAATGGTTGAGTTTAAGGTTTTCTTCTCTCTTCCAAAGAATTCTGTTAAGACTATACAGTGTTTTAATAATTAAAACAATTAAAAGATAGGCAAAAATTATCATTTGGAGTAAGACGCATTTACGTCATCCACTCCTTAAGAACCTACTAATAACCCTGAAAAATTCAGACATGTTGGTTAAATGGATAGAATTCTCTTGGCACACTACCAAGCAGGCTCCTAGCCATTAGCAGTACAATTTAATGCTTTAAATGAAGCCTTAAGCACCCGACGATGTACCCCCCCACAGCCCCATTTTCTGATTTCTAAAGCTCTTCATAAACCCCCTTCACCCACAGGATGTGGCAGCAGGGGAGGAAAACAAACTACAAATTCTTTTACACGCCAACGATAAAGAAGACGTTTTTTGCGAAGTCAACAAGAATTCAAGATTTTTACTCAACAGATCCCCAGCCCCTTATGTATAAATCCTTCTGTGTTGGAGATAAGCTAGATTGGAAAAAACCAGGTGGCTATAGGTTGGCAGAAGAGCAGACCAGACAACCCTGCCCCCAGGCGAGCGCTCAGCTGCTTCTTTCTTCCCAGGAGCGCATGCGCAGCGTACTCTCCGGCCACCACACGCCTCTTCAACTAGCCGAGAGGGCACTTACGTCATCGTGAGGTTCAGGAGGCCCCTTCCGCTCCTTCAAAGAAAACGAGTCCGCGGGCTTTCAGCTCATCTTAACCCACGGAAAATGTCCTCCCTTCTTCCACCCAAGTGTCAACGACTTCCCCAATCCTTCTACAATAGCCTAACTTTTGGGAAAACTTCTCTTCGTGTTGGTTGGACAGAAAAAGCGGCGGAAATGAAAAAGGGGGAGGGTGAACAACTAATCCAGTGTTGTTTACAAAGAGCGGACAGGCGAGGAATCAGTCCGCGAAGGCGGAGCTGAGGCAGCCGGCACTTCTTCCTGTCTTCCCCTCCCTCCCCAGCCTTCCCCGCGAGCGGACGCGGCAGCGCCTCTGTCTCGCTTTTTCTTATTTTTCCCCCTTTCCCCTTTCTTTTCTTTTCTTTTTCCCCTTCCCCCCCCTTTCACCATTTCCCCTCGGAGGCGCTTCCCCCGGGCAGGGGCAGAGCCGGTCTCACCCCCCGCCTCTCCCCGGCCCCCGCCGCCCTATGGCGAGAGGGAGCCCCCTCCTCACCCAGGCACCAGCGGCGGCGGTTGGAGGAGCGGGACCGGCGGTGGCGGCCTCAGGTCCGGGGTGGTCATGGAACTAATTCGCTGACCGACCTTCTGGCCGCAGCCGTGCGTCCCGCTCGAGCGCCAGCTACCGCGCCCCCCCAACCCCGCCGGGTTCCTTCTCTTCTCCCTCCTCTATCGGCCCGGTCCTAGTCCTGCGCGCCCCCGCCGCTGCGCGAGAGGAAAATGAGGTGGTAACGGGCCTGCGGATGACCCCGCGTCACCACTTTGAGGCCTACAGCTCTGCCGGGGAGGAGGAGGAGGAGGAAGAGGAGGAGAAGGTGAGGGGCGGGGGCGGGGGGCTCGACGCGTGTCGGTGACCGCCGCCCGCGCGCTACGCCCCTGTTGCCCAAGCGGAGGCGCCCGGCGGCGCGCTGCTCGCCTGACCTGCCAAGCACGGTCCCCCTCTGGAGGAACCTAGGGACGACCCCTCGCTCTCTCCCCGAAGTATCCCGGTACCTCCTGGGTTTTGAAACAATGTGCGGGGTTCCCTTTCGGGCCAGTTTTTCAGTTAGCAAGTAACTTTTTAGTAGTAACAGCACATTCGCTGCTCGGCCGTTTGAGTTCCAGGCTCCGCACGTCTGTATCATTACACAAAGGGGACACACCCCCACCTTCACACTCGACGGATCTTTTCTCGACTGCCCCTAGATAACGTGGGTTTCAGAGCCGAGTCAGTGGGGAGGACTGCCAGGACGCAAATTTGCGAGAGGGAAGCGTTACCCAGGCTTGGGCCGGTGGGGGAGCCCGTAGAGGTGAGAATTGAGTTGCACCCTGAACTAGGGGTTAAAAGTACCAAATTTGGAGAAGAGGGCCAAAGGCCCTCTACCGGAGGAAGGGGTCCCGTTGCAGACCATTTCGGCAAAAATTGAGAATTAGGAAGCAAAATAGTGAAAGCATAACCCGTCAAGAAGTAGGATGGATTCAGACCGAAGGTCTGTCTTTGTCAGGTTAAAGGATTTCAATTGTCTTCTGCCACTCAGTGTTTCATCAGCATTTGTAGATGAGACTTATCTGCCAGGCACTGTTTGTTCTTCATTCTCACAAAGACTCCACCCAGGTGATACGAGACTCATTTTACAGATGAGAAAAACTGAGACTCCACAAGATTTGCTTCCTTTTAGATAACAGCGAGAACCCGCTAGCCAGAGTTTAGTCTGAATCTTAGGCTCTAACGTCTCCATCCTGAAAATGAATTTGTTGAAAAGATTAGTAGGAGTCTTATTTGCTTCTAGTTTTTCCAGGTCATTTGTGATAGAAAGGAACAGACAAACTAAGAAAGAATGGACAGGGTTTAAATTAGTTAAACTAGGACTAGAATAATGAGAAAAGAATGCCATTCCCTTGGACCAGGAAAAGTTAAATACTGAATGTAAGGATAGACTATTAGAATCAGCATAGGTTGGGAAGGTATAATAGAAATGAACTGGAGTTAACAGGTAAATATTGTATGTGGTAGTGTGACGTTCTAGTAGGTTTCAGTGGAACTCTTTCATATCTTGGTCAAGATTGGAAGCAAGATTGTATGTATTTTATTTTGATTGCATTTTCTTTCTTTATTTTTTGGTACTGGGGATTGAAACCTGGGGTGCTTACCAACTGAGCCACATCACGGCCTTTTGGGGGGGGGGAGTCTAGAAACAGGATCTTGCTGAATTGCTTAGGGTCTCCTTAAGTTTTGTTTTGGTACCAGGCATTGAACTCAGGGGTACTCCACTACTGAGCTACATCTCCAGCCCTATTTTGTATTTTATTTAGAGACAGGGTCTCACTGAGTTGTTTAACACCTCACCTTTGCTGAGGCTTCACCCAGTTTTTTTTTTTTTTTTTCTTATTTTAGTTGAACATGGACATAGTACCTTTGTTTTACTTATTTATTTATTTTATGTGGTGCTGAGGATCGAACCCAGTGCTCCACATGTGCAAGGCAAGTGCTCTACCACTGAGCCACAACCTCACCTAGTTTTTGAGGCTGGCTTTGAACTTGTGATCCTGCATCAGACCCTGCCATCTGCAGGGTGGGGGGATGGCCTGGCCAGGCAGGCTGCTTTGGGATTACAGGCTGTGCCCTGATTGTGTAATACTTTTCAAATGAACTGTATTTACCATTCTGTGCATGCTTGTTCATCTTTAAAATGGATTTAATAATTCCAACTTCATAAAGTATGAGGATTACATGAGTTAATATGGCATATACTTTGAACAGTAGCTGGCCAAATAGTAAACACTCAATGCTTTTACTTGGTAAGCACCTAACAAGTATAAGCTTATTATTTATTATGGTACTAAACTTCAGAGTTTTGTTATCAAGGAACTAAGGGTTGGTAGGAGACAGCCTACCAACCAATGAATAAAATGCAGAAGTAGAATTGTGCCCAAGTGCCCATGTAGGAAAGCAGGGTGCGGCTGGGCCATTCCAGAGGGTACCATTCACAGACTGATAGTAATTTATGAAGGAGTGTAAGCCTGAGAAGATGATTTTTAGTTGAAAGAATAGTGTATGCAAAGAGCCCATTTTGGAATTAACCTGTGGTTTGTTTCTGCTGTTGTATAAAGTCAAGGAGGGAGTATTAGAATGTGAGATTCTGTGGGGTCAAGTCTGTCACACTTTTCAGAGGAGGAACTAAGATTCAGGAGTCAGCATCAGTAACAGGATTAGAGTTGGTATTATGATCATAAACACAATAATTGTACATTAATGAAGTTGTTTATATTATATACCCAGTACTGTGCAGCACTTTTCCTCAGAAGAGTAGGTGGTCCTGAGTGTAATATTATTCATGCTGTTCAATAAGCATTTTATGAATTAGTAGCTCAGAAATTAGGCTGTTTGTAAGTGTGGAGAACAGTATATAGTAGAAGTAGTTGAGAATGGGAGGAGGAGGAATGTAAAATTCAAAATTAATTTTGTGTGGAATATATCTACCCAAATTCGGATTGAACAGCCCTGGTTTGAAAAAGCAAAATGCTTCAAAGTCCAAAAATTTTTTGTTGCATGCTGACCTGAGACCACAAATGGAAAATTACATACCTTGAAACTTTGTTTCATGTGTGAAATTACTGGAAAATATATAAGATTACCTTCAGACTATATTTAAAATTAATTTCCTGTTTTGTCTAGGACCCCATCCAAATTCATTATGTATATCCAAATATTCTAGAATCAAAAAATAAAATAAAACACTTTTGGCCCCAAGCATTTTGTGTAAGGGGTACACAATTTATATGTAACTTATGTGTACATATGTGTATATATAAATTTATATTTGTTTTTAGAGACTATTCTGCATGGCACTAAGAATAGGCATATATAAACAAGATATAACTATAAAGCTCTTATTAAAAGAACTAAAATTGTATTTTAAGTGTATTTTATTCCTTAGCAGAATTCATTATTCATGTGACTTAAATAATCTGTTTTGCACATTTTAAAATAGGCTGGTACATTGTCAGTAAAAATGAAAAATGAAGCCCATGGTATCTCCATATCATGAATTCTGTCTTAATAGTATTATAAAAGGAAGTGCTAATTTAAGTATTTTCATAAGTTATGTGCTTTTTTCTTTTTTCTACAGTATTTGTAAATAACTTAAAACTTACATCTTTTGCTCAGATTTCACCTGTTAACCTTTCATTTTATTGTTTTTATCTCCCCCCATGTATAAATTGTATACATTATGACTTTTTACTTCTAAAATGATCAGTGTGTATTTTCTAGGAATAGAGATATTCTCTTGACAAACCACAGTACAGTTTTTAATTTCAGTAGATTTCAAATTGATAAGACAATTTTGTATAATCTACTGCCCATATTCCACTTAATGTCATTTGACCCATTAATGAGCCTTATAGCATTTGTCTCCCTCCAGTACAAAATTCAATTCAGAATCCAGTCCAGGCTAGGTGTTGCACTTTTATTTTTCTGTAGCTTCATTTAATCTGGAACATTTCTACAGTTAACCATTTTTTTTTAAACTTGCATTTTTTATGTACCATTTTTAAAATTTTTAAGAAAAATTTTTAACTTTTTTCCCTTTGTTACATTTTCCTAGTGTGAGCAAAGAAATATTATTTTTCCCCTATTAATGTGGTGTATTATGTTAATTGATTTCTCATCACTGAGCCAATATTGGATTGTGGGACAAATCCCTCTTGGTTATGGTTTATAATAATCCTTTTTATGTTACAGAATTCAGTTTGCTGGTATTTTGTTGAGGAATTATGCATCTTATTCAGGTGGAGTTTTCTAGTTATGCTTATCTAGTTTTGGTAGCAGGGCTTCATAGAATTGAGTTGGGAAGATTTCTTCTATTTTTGGGGGAAGAGTTCATAAAAAAAAAAAATTGGCATTTTTTTCTGTAAATGTTTGGTAGAATTAGCCAGCGAAGCCATCTGAGCATGGATTTTTTTTCTTAGTAGCTTTTCTATCTTCTAATGGCTATTCAGCTCTTAAGTCAGTTTTCGAAGTTTGTTTCTTGGAATTTGTCCATTTCTTCTAAGTTGTCCTAATGTATTTGTATATAGTTGTTGATGAAATTCTTCTATGATTTTTATTTCTGTAAGGTAGTGTACATAGTAATATCCTGTTTTAATTTCTGATTTATCTTTTCTTTTCTTTTTTTTTTTGGTTGTTGTTGGTAAGACTAGCTAAATGTTTGCCATTTTGATTTTACCAAAGGACCAACTTTCATTAATTTCTCTATATTTAATATTCTCTACTTCATTAATTTCTTCTAATGTAATTTCTTTGCTTCTGGATTGCTTTAGCTATGGTTTTATTTTTCCATTATCTAAAGGTGGGAGGTTAGGCTATATTGATTTGAGATTTTTTTTTTTTTTTTGTATAACATATTTTCAGATATTTCCCTCTGAGCACTCCTTTCATTGCATCCTATAAGTTTTCATATGTTATGTTTTCATTTTCACTTATCTCAAAAGTGTTTTTTGATTGGGACTTTTTCTTTGATCAGATTCCATTGTTTTTAAAAAGTCGTTAGAACATCTACCTTTTAAATGTCTTAGGGCCTTCACTATAGGAGATCGGAGCCTAGGAATTCCTTGAGCCCAGTTTTATTCTTCTGTACATGTTTCTGTCCCTCTCTGTCCTCATCTATACCTCCTGAAAATAATTTTCAAATCAAGCATTGTAAGGGAAAAGTCCTTAGTGGCAGCTAGTTGTTGGGGTATGTTTAAAAGGCAGATCCTGGTGAGCCATCCTGTTGGGTATAGCTAATGGCATGAAAAAATTACTTAAATTTGAGGTTTGACAAGAGTTTATGAACTACGGACTAAAATTGGGTTTGGAAGAGATCTTACAGCTTATGAAGTCCAATCTCTATCCAATATTAGTGTCTCTTTTAAATATATCTTGACAGATGGTTATCTAGCTTATACTACAGTTCCAAGGCTAATACTTCTATCTGCTTTAGATGAAATTATAGTGAGCCTGCTCATCAAATTGTGGAAGATTTGAGAAAAGCACCAAAGCAATAAAATTGGAATCTTAAACATCTTGGCAAAATGCAACAATGGGTTGAATCTAACAAGATGACTTAAAACTAAAAAATCCTTTTTAAGTCCTGAACAAGTGTATATTCCCTTCCACCCAACCCCCAAATTACCAAAAAGCCATACAGAGATGGAGCAGGGAGAGGTGGAATTGTCCTAATAGTATACCTGCATAAGTCTTAAAAGTTTTAATTGATCATAAATTTTATCTGAATTGGTAGTGTAAAAGTGGTGCTAATTTAGAAGAGCCAAAATGTCATGTGAGGAATCATTAAACAGTTTTTCAGCTATGAAAAAGATGAGCCAGTGAGCATGATAGCAGCCTTCCAACATCTGAAGGATTGACTTGAGAAATTAGATTTGGGTATGTTTGTTTTGGTTTTGTTGTATGCTTTTGTTTTTGCCTCCAGTGGTTGAAACTAGAACCATTTGTCAAGTCCTTCTTTCTTCAAAAGTACTCTGAGGTGGGTATAATATTTATATCATAGTATAAAAGATGATAATTGGTAGATGTGGCTTCAAAAGAACTTATAATTTTGTTGGGAGATAGTGGAAAGCTGCTTTCAAAGGAGAAAGAAATCACATCTGATTAGAGAATCAGGAAGAGAATTCTTGGAAGAAATTAACCTTTGAATTGAGCCTTTTAGGATAGGTATAATTTCTTTTCCTTTTTTCTTAGTATGAAAATGCTTCATCATTATAGAAAATTTCCCAAAACTCGAGAGTTTAAACAAGCAAACAGAAAAAATCCAGTTAAATGGAGGTAGTCTGTAATAAGTTTAGTGGCAAGGAAATGGAGTGTGTGAAATGACTAATGTAAAAGATGACAGATAGTAGCTAGAGTTGGGTATGTAGAATGTGGAAGTAAGAGGTTTGCTTTTTGTTCGAACTTTTTAATTTTATAAAAATTTGGAACTTCTCTCATGTTAAAGATTTCTAAAATACGAATCTGAAGCACATGATACAGGTACATAGTTTTTAAAAAGTCAAATAATTACCAGGCTTTTATAATGAAAAATATCCCTGCAGAAAGTCTTCTTGACCTTTCCTCATTCTCTGGAGGTTAACTCCTTTCAACCTTTACCTGTTTCTCCTGTTATTTAATATCATGTTTTCTGATAACTTGCCCTGCTACTGTTTTTTGATATGCCAGTTTAGATATTGTTGTTTTTGTGCTTTTGGCACTGGGAATTGAATCCAGGGGCACTTTACCACTTAGCTATATCTCCAGCCCTTTTCATTTTGGGACAGGGTGTAAGTTGCTCAGAGCTTTGCTAAATTGCTGAGGCTGGCCTTGAACTTGTGGTCTTCCTGCCTCAGCCTCTTGAGTTGCTGGGATCACAGGGGTGTGCCACCATAGCTCGCATCCAGTTTCAGATACAGTTAATAGATTTCCTACTATGAAATGTATAAGACTCTCATTCTAACATCTCCCAAAATCCACACTTATTACCTATACCATACTACAAAACATTTTATCAAGTTTGTTAATTTGTATTCAATATTTTCATTATTACTGCTATGTAAATATTATGGCATTAATTATACTTACTTTATTATATATTTTTTTCCAATTTAGATGATTTTTTTTCACATTCTTCAACTTAATCCAGTTTTATGTCACAAAACTTTGTAGTTCTCTTTAAAAAAAAATCTAGATCATCACTTTTGGGCTCTCAATTACATGGCCATGTTTTTGCTCTCTATAATTGACTTTCAGATTGAAATTGAGAACATTTCAGATAACTGATTATTAGTGTAACATTTTAATATTTAAAAGAGCTGTAAAATCTATATTACCTCGTAACATTCTTAATTTGTTTTATGAGTTACTTAATAAGTATCAACATATATATACATTTTACACTTATTCTGTAATTAAATAATAAACAATATTTATATTTGATTTTATAGGTAGCTACATCAAGCTGGGTGGCAGGCAGATCCAAAGGATATCATGAAGTTTCCAGGATCTTTGGAAAACCAGAGATTGTCTTTCCTATTGGAAAAGGCAATCTCTAGGGAAGCCCAGATGTGGAAGGTGAATGTGCCGAAAATATCTACAAATCAGGTAATGACTTCTCTGTTTAGATAGATGAGTTTTATTAGAGATAAGTACACTAGTGCATATATATATAATAATTTCTTGACACTGCATTGGATAAGTATGTACCATTAAGAACATGCTCACATCTCCTTGATTCTTCCTGAAACAAGAATTAAACTGTTTTTGTTGTTTTCTGAGTTACAGCTATAAGAAGATAGTTATGTCATTCATTTTCTTCATGGTTTAACTAACAGTAAGATATCTTTACTTCTAGGCATACAGTTAGACTTACAGGTAGAACAAAATTTATTACATTATATTTAGTGAACCAAAAAATCTATCAGTATTTGTAAGGAGTTCAAGTGAGGAACTCAGGTAACCCAATATTGGAAGCCTCTTGGGAAATAGCCAGCTAAATTCATAATTACTATTGGCTGTATATCTTTGAGAGATTTTTATACTTATATCATAAAATTATTATATGTTATTTTTTAAGCAAATAACTATTAAGAGTATTCATTTAAAAAGTTGATTATATAAGATGTGTTATACATCTTTTTAATCCTAGTATCTAGCATGGTGCTTGGGATATAGAATAGCAAGAAATTTGTAATATGCATGGGTGAATGAATAAATGCCAAATATCTAAGACCCTTTTGTGTTATCGTTCACTCAAAAGATTATTGAAATTGTAATCTTTTTCTTATTATTTCCTACAAGCTGAAGAAATATGTTCTGCATTTACTGTTTCTTATTTGTCATTTTGCAAATTGAAGATTAATTGACTTGAATGAGTATCTTCTGTGGTAGGAATATTTACATATGGTATCATTTTCTTTTTTTTCTTGATACTGAGGATTGAAGCAAGGGGTGCTTAACCACTGAGCCACATCCCCAGCCCTCTTTTATATTTTATTTAGAGATGGGTCTCCTGAGTTGCTAAGTGCCTCACTAAGTTGTTAAGGCTGGCTTTGAACTCAAGATCTTCCTGCCTCAGGCTCCCAAACCCCTAGAATTACAGGCGTGAGCCTCCGCAGCTGGTTTGTATATGCTGTGATTTAACATAGCGATTAATCCTCTGAAATAAGCAATACTGTTTAATTTGCTTAAGACTTTAGCTAATAAGTTACAATTCAAACCTTTACCTTTATACTTTTTTAAAAATTTTTTGTCGGTATGTGTGAGTTTTAGATTTCTTTAAATGTTTATTGAATGTTTACTATATTCTGGACACTATTCTATAAACTGGGCATATAACAATGGAAAAAAATTCCTGCTTGTATTTTATGACATGCTAGTGAGCCTCATAGTCTTTTAACTGTTGCTTTTAGAACTTTACCTTTCTTCCCTCTCCTCCTATATCCTAGAGCCTGTATGTAACCAACAATAATAAAAAAGATAAACTTTTTTGGGGGCGGGGTACTGGGAATTGAACTTCTGAGCTACACCAGCAGCCCCTTTTTTTTTTTTTTTTTTTTAAATGGTATTGGGGATTGAACCCAGGGCCTTGTGCATACAAGGCAAGCCCTCTACCAACTGAGCTATATCCCCAGCCCAGCCCTTTTAATTTTTTTTATTTTTAGTTGAAGGTGGACACAATAGCTTTATTTTATTTATTTATATGTGGTGCTGAGGATCAAACCCAGGGCCTCACACATGCTAGGTAAGCACTCTACCACTGAGCCACAACCCCAGCCCTTTTTAATTTTTTATTTGAAACAAGGTCTTGGTAAATTTCCTAGGCTGGCCTTAAATTTGCAGTCTTCCTATCTCAGTCTCCTAAGTAGCTGGGATTGGGATTGTAAGCGCGGGCTACCACTCCTGACTTCGGTAATCATAAACTTTAACACATAGTCTTTGAAGGCAGTTGTTGCTGTATTACTACTTAATCTGGCCTATTTCTATAGGTGATTTAACAAATTTTAGCAAGGTAACATTAGTACAGTGTTAAAACTTCTAGGAGGAACCCACTTCTTAAGGAATTTCCTTAAATAATGCCAAGTAGAAGTTATTAGTAAAATTTGGGTGAACTTGGTCTGGTGGGGATAGGGAAGAAGGGGCTGTGGATATAAAGAGCTAAGGGTGCTTGACCTACTTGCCAGAGTAACCCCCCAGGAACACTATTTTACTCCTAATTCCTTTGTTCTGCTACTCTCAGGGATTGGCTTTGGCTTTTCTACTGTTTCAACTTTTTTTTCTTTCTTTCTTTTTTTTTTTGAAGTGCTGGTAATAAAAATGGAAAAATTGAATATTTCAAAGCTTCCTTTTATGCTTGTTTACTCTAGTTTCCTTCTCCTTTTTTCCTTTTCCCCACCTAAACTCTACTTTGAGGTTATTCTCTCTCAATTCTCTTTTAATTTCACTTACTCCCAGTAAGTGATACAAATACTTACTGACACTGTGGTCAGGCAAGACTATATACACCTATCACCTTCTCTATGTGCTTTTACAGCTTTCTGTACTTATGATAGAATATAATAATTTCTTAGTGATTTGACTGTGAATTTCCTTGCATGTGGTAGTGAAACACTGAGTTACATTGCCCAGCCCTTTTTAAAAATTATTTTTGTACTGGGAAAAAATTCCCTGGGGATTGAACCACATCCCCAGCTGCTTTTATTTTTTATTTTGAGACAGAGTCTCACTAAGTTGCTTAGGGCCTTGCTATGTTGCTGAGACTTGCCTCAAACTTGGATTGTCTTGCCTCAGCCTCCAGAGTTTCTGGGATTCCAGGTGTGCACTGCCACATCTGGCTTTTAAAACACAGGCGCTTTGATCACTGGGCTATATGTGGTGCTAAGTGTATCAGAATTGCCCAAAAGGGTTCTTAAAAATAGAGATTCTAGGCCTGACATCTATTCATTTATTCTTTCAATTTAAGTAAATTATGTTTTTCAGGCAATTTATTCACTTTATCTACATTTTTCAAATTTAGGTGAATTTGTCCATAATCTTAACATCTGAAGACCTCATAATGGTGCTGCTTTTAAAATTTTTGAATTAACAATTTATGCTTTTCTTTCTTGTTCAGTCTTGCTAAAGATCTGCCAATTAGACTTTCAGTTCTATTGATTTTTCCTTATTGTACACTTATTTTCTTAAAATTATTTATTTGCTCTTTCTACTTTGTGTAAATTCATCTATTCTCCTTTTACTCTTATTTCTTATATTAAAACTTTTCTGATAAAAATCTAGGTCTTTTTGCCTACTTTAAAAATTTGTTTCTTTTTTTGGTCATGCCTAATAATTATTATTTAATGTTGAACATTGTGTTATATAAATTGCTGAAACTTCAATTGACAATCCAATCCCTTCTTTTAGAGAGCTAACACTTTACTCTGAGGAGGGACTGAACTGATGGAGCCTGGGTTGCAGTCGGATACAGTTTTATCTATCTCTGGTTTGCCCCAATTCCTAGAGTGAATCTGTTGGTTCCAGCTGAGAGCTTAGTTTGTTCCAGGACCCTCTTCCTCCTGAAGGGTGCTAAATTGTCCTCTAAACTCATGATTGCTTTTCAGGGTTTTTTTGCTTAGCATTTAAGTTCCCTGTGTCTACCTTCAGTATTTCATTCAGAAAACTGTCTTAAAGGGGGAAAATCAGCTGAGAATGGCATACAGATCTTTGACCACTCCCCACTAGGTTCTTGGCTCATCGAATCTTCAAATTTTGACTCTAGCTCTGTAAACTCTGAAAGCTCTGTTAGTTTTAGTCTTTTGCCCTCCTTGGGAAAGGAAAACATCCTAAAGAAAACTACAGAATGTCGACTCATCTCTTTTTGTTTACTCCCTCTCCAGAATCTTGGCTCCTCGTGGCTTAGTTGTTCCAGTAGTTCCGGTACCTTTTAAAAATAGGTTGTTGTAGCAGCTTTTCTAGTTATTCTCAGTTGGGGTGTAGGTTTGCTGCCACTTACTTAATCATAACTAAAAGCAGAAATATAATCTTTTAAAAATATTGAACACAACTATTATTAAAAAAAATATTGAACACAATAGGTGTAATGAGATGCTGTGAAAACACAGGAAGGTACTTAGCTCCTGAGTTATCAGGAAAAGTGGTAGAGAATGACCACTGAAATAGCATAGAAAGATATAAAGCAGGTGAAGTGAAGACAGGTGTGTGTTCCAACTAGAAGGAACAATGTTATTAGCACAGGAGCACTGGCAAGAGCAAGGAAGAATCAAATAGAAGTACTATTAGAGCATGAAATTTAAGGCAGAAAATGATGGAAAGTATATGAGACTGGAAAGATTGGTGATGGAGGGATTTGTATGCCATATCTCAGGGACGGCACTTTAATCTTAAGAGATAATGGCCAACCTTTTAGAGTTCAAAGTTGAGCAGGATGTATATTTAATGAAAAAGGCCTGCAGCATGTAGAATTATGTATAGATTTTCTTTAGAATTTTTTTTACTCAATTATTTGCTTTCTACTTTTCTTTGTGGAATTTACTATTCTTCAAATATAGATTTATGAAATATAGCAGTCTGTTTTACCATGTTGATGACAATATAAATTCTCCTTGAGACTGGTTATTCAACCACCTTACTGAATTCTCTTAACCTTGTTTGAGCAATCCATATGGAAAGAAGAAAATATAAAAGTTCCATTGATAAAACCAATAAATATTATCTAGTTTGCTCATTTCCTCCTTTCTTTCATCCTTTCTTCATTTAGATGAATGGAAATAGAATTACTTAATGGAATTTATTTTTTTGTAATAATACTGGTTTTAGTACGTTTGAATTGGATTTGATAAAGTGATCTTAAGGTTAGTATTACTTCAGTAAGAGTGTCTTATTAAACTGGGTTTCTGTGGTTGCTGCTACTAATTTTGGCTAATGATGACATGCTTTCTTGGTCCTATTATGATCTCTTTTCATGATTATCATGTTTAAAAGGTAAATTCTTATATGATATTTCATAAATTCTTTATTGTCTTCCGAGAATCAGGTAGCTTAAAGGTAGATAAGGAGAAAATTAGTATTCATTCTGTATGTGTGCTTTATATGGTAAATCACTTAGTTAACTTTGGTATGGTAATTTCCATATAACTGTTCTATTGTATTATGTCATCTTTTGTGATACTACTTAAACTTTTGGTTGTTTAATGTCAAATATCAAATGATATTATTTAATTTAGTCTGTTATTCAGAATTATTTTTTCTTCCTTTAAACACCTACCTCTGCTTTTGTGAATTTATTTTTATTGATTTGTTTGGCTGGCTCACTTGATATTGCTTTTCCTTCTCTTAAATGGTTAATTTCCTTTGGAAGTTTTGTGACTGCTTTCACTTCCCAGCAATCTTTAGGAGTAGAACTAGATCTTAGAAAAGCGGGGCTTTATAGAAATATGGTTTATTATAGAACTAAGGACCATGTTAACAGATACTTGATCCGGGTCCTAACTGCAAGACTGTATATCTTTCTCTTACCTAGAGAAACCATAGCTCCAGACAATTTTGCTGCCCTTTTCAGACTCTTTTTGTGATAGGGATAACCTTTCTCAGAGTATTAATAATGGCCTTATTCCATTTTCCACTTTGATATCAGACAACAGTCGTTAGGGCATAAATTCCCCTGCTACTCTGATGCGTGTGGCAAGAACCCATCAAGCCCATAACTTTAGTCTCATGAACTACCTTAAGTTCTTATTCCCCTTCTTCATAGAATGATATGACTATTCTTAAGAATGATTTGTAGGAATCTCTTCTGTCAACCTTGATGTGATTTGCAAGTCTGAGGAGTTTAACTAAAATTTTATTGCCTTCAGGTTGATATCATTTCTATCCTTCAGAGTAAAGTTCACAGGCTTCCACACCATGACTCCTTTTCTTGCAGCTACAATGATCACCCTGTCCCCTCACTTTTAAGTTACAAATTATGTGTTATCGCAAGAAGCTCTTGTTTTACTACTACACTGGGCCAGGTCCCCTTCCCTGCAACCTCATCATACCTCTTTCCATATTTTATTGACATTTTTTATGGCCTACCTCTCCGCATTTCTTAATGCGTTATTGCAGGGTCATTCCAAAGGTAAGTGAACAAAAAGTGTGTATGTGGTAGTTAACCTCAAAATATTAGTTATAATTGAGTTTAGAATTAGGTGTAAAAATTATGTGTGATAAATTGGTTTGGCTGACACAAAGGAACACTTTACTTTGTTGTGCCAAAGCTAAAAAGTGAAGTGACAGGAAGTCAAGGAGGAGGAGTTGGAATAAAATTAGAACAGAAACTAGCAGATGCATTGGCAGAAATTATAATGAGCAGCAAGCCATATGTTCCCCCATAACACTAGAGAAAGCCAAGAAAAATCAGAAGTCACAGCTAAAATTCCTTTTTGAGGAGATACATTGTTAGATATATAGTGTTTAATGGCTATTAATGCATCTTTGTATTATAAAGGAATAAATTTCATAAAGTTGACAACTAAAGGATCAAGGAATGAGATAAATAATATATTTTTTAAAAGATTTTGATGAAATGAAACAGTGATAAAGACTGCAATGCTTGTATTATCTCCACTTGTCTGGAACTCACTCTTACTGAGAATAGTCTTTTCCACATACTCTGTTGTGTTTAACTTTTGTAGGAGTGGTACTCATAAGGACGTTTCATTTAGCTTTAGATTATTACTAGTTGTTGTTTAGTAATGACTGAAACTCAAAAGAGTAAGTATCTAAATCACTGTTGCTTTAGAATGTGTTACCCTCTAAAAATTAAGCCTCGGGAGTTAAAAAAAAAAAAAAAAACAACAAAAAACGTAGGGATGTTAAAACAAAAGCCAAATGTTTGTGTTTATGGCAGTCTTTACCAGTAATAATTCAGTTCAGGTCAACTTCTATTTCATTGTTTTCCCATCATCTTTAACTGGAATTTATTTGTTGTCCTAACATTTATTACTACTGATTTATTTTATAATGTGCTATCATTCTGTTATCAGAGTCCATTTATGCTTCCTAACATAAGTTAATAGCTATTTACTGCCTTAGAAATTCATTCTTACTCTCAAGAATTGGGAAAATTTAATTATAAAATCACTATCAATTGATATTAGTTTGTTTAAATTTTAAAATCATATATTCCCTGAACATTAATTAATGTAGATACCTGTTGAAGTGATATAGTAAAGATTTTAATAAAGAGTAAAAGTATATTGGTATTGATATTAATGCAATAACCAGTACACAAAGTTTTATCTTCACCTATCTCAAGTCTGATTTTTAGTAATCTTAAAAGACATTTTTGTTGTACAAATGTAATTTCTGTAATAAAAACAGAAGTTTTTATGAGAAACAATTCTAAATTATATTCTTATGGTAACTAACACTTTGTTGTCTTTTAATTTTATTTATTTTTTAATTATTCCCTTATAGAATGTTTCCCCATCCCAGAGAGATGAAGTAATTCAGTGGCTGGCCAAACTCAAGTACCAATTCAACCTTTACCCAGAAACATTTGCTCTTGCTAGCAGTCTTTTGGACAGATTTTTAGCTACTGTAAAGGTAAAAATTTTAATATTTAATAATAATTAATATTTACACATAACTTTTCCTTGAGAGTTTAGATATTAAACCACAGGTTATTGGTATACATGGTATAAAGTATAAATGAAGAACTTTCTTGGATAATGATGTTATGTACTCATGTCAAGATATGTCTTCTATTGTTTTTAAAATTTTGTGTGTCTAATTGTACTCTTTTTGCTACAAATACTCATAACTCATATTTACCCTATGAAATTTTGTTGTTTTTGTGGATTGATCCCAGGGGTCTTCGCTAATGAGCTATATCCTCAACCCTTTTTATTTTGAGACAGAGTTTCACCAAATTGCTTAAGGCCTTGCTAAATTTCTGAGACTTTGAACTTGGGATCCTCCTGTCTCAGCCTCCCAAGTTGCTGAAATTTTGATCTCTTTATTTAGTACAAACCATATAGCATTGGCAGAGTGTCTAGCCACCTTCTAACATGTTGGTGTACTAGAGGTGGACAGTTTAATCAGACTTAAAAAAGTGTAATAAGTTTTTTGCACATTTTTCTCTGTCATTCTTATTTATTAAATATGCATAGTCTGTGATTTTCCTGGACAATATGTAAATACTTTCCAGAAACATACTTGGGGATGTAAAGAGGTCATAAAATGACTTTGTTGTGTGTATATGTGAGTGTGGGTTTTATTTATTTTTTGGTACCAGGGATTGAATGTAGGGGCACTCAACTACTGAGCCACATCCCAGCCCTATTTTGTATTTTATTTAGAGACAGGTTTCACTGAGTTGCTTAGCGCCTCACCTTTGCTGAGGCTGGCTTTGAACTCAAATGATTCTCCTGTCTCAGCCTTCCAAGTTGCTGGGATTACAGGTGTGTGCCACCGCGCCCGGCTAGAATGCTGTTATTTATCTCTGTCTTCTGTCTTTACCCTCTTCCCTTTCCCTTTACTATAGCTAACCTTTCTTTCACAGGTAATTCCATAGAAAGTTGAGTTTTCAAAGTTAGCATTCTTTCTTGGGTTGCATATTTTTCAAAATTGGTAATGAACTTACGACTTCTACCATAAAAAATTCTTAGGTTTACTGAAGATTTTAAACACATTTTTGGAAATTCTAGAAATAATTTTGCCAAATATAATCCTATTTTTAAATATTTCTTATTAGGTTTAATCATGTTAACATCAAATAACCTTATTTACAGATGGTTATGTATGGTTAATCTATATTGAAATAGTCTAAAATGTAGCTTAAATTAAAGACACTTAGACAAAAACCATAAAAGGGCTGCAGTAGTGAAGGGAGCCTCAATCCTAGCAGCAGAAATCACTGTGAAACCCTTAAAAATAAGGAGAGGCTAGGGATTTAATTCAGTGGTAGAATGCTTGCCTGTTAGCACATATGAAGCCCTGGGTTTAATCCCCAGCACTGCAGATAATAAAAAACTACTGCCAGCATATCTAAAAAGAACAACAACAACGAAGTCTGGATTGGGGATGGGGTTCAGTAGTGGTGTATTTGTCTAGTGTACTCAAGGCCCTGGGCTCAAAATAAACTGTATAGATGGATTGTAATATATGTAATCAGCCTGAGAACTAATGTTTTTTAAAAAACATTATTGGGGGCTTGGGACCCTTAGTGGTAGAGCCCTTGCCTAGCATGCATGAGGCACTGAGTTCTATCCTCAGCACCACATAAAAATAAAATGAAAATGTTTCCTTAAAAAATTGGGATTCTTTTTATTAATAAATTTTTTATTGGTACCCTTGTTTTAGAAGTAGTAGTGTTTGCCTAGAGTTGTTAGGTTCTTTTCTTTGTAAAGAATTCAGTTTATTTCAGAGATGAGGGTTTTATGTATTATATACATGGAGAAATAAGAACCCATAGAAAACTGTCCTAGCAACAAAATTAAATTTACTTTCTAGATTACCAGTGTCATGTCCCTTAACCTCTGAGACTAGTTTCTCAACTTTAAAAGGAAAACCTGATAGACAAGATATTATTTTTGGACAGGACTTTTTAACTGTAAAGCTCTGATTAATAATTATTTTCAAATGTTTATAGTATTGAACCATGTTTTATTTCTCTTGTGAACAAAGGATTGAAAGATCTGTAGGCTGTGCACCACTTATGCGGAAGCATAATATAAACATTGGTATGTTTATATCAGTTTAAAATAAGTGTTTAAACAGGTCATACTGTTTGTATGTTATTTAACTTGTACATCTTTGAATTTAATACGGCTAAATTGTTTGAATTAATAAAAATAGCATTTTGGTGCTGCATTGGCAGACACCTTGAACATGAGCCTATTTTATTATACATAGGAAAACAGGCAAATTCAAGTCATTTTGTGTTAAACCCAAGAAAGATTTTTTTTTTTTTTTTTTTACCACTAATCTTGTATGTCTTTTTAGGGCCTTTTCTTTCTTATGAAGTAGGTATGTGTGTGTTTGTGTGTGTGTGCGTGCGTGCATATGTGCAAGGAATTAGAAAATTTCTACTTATCTAGCATCATAGTTTTTTAAAGCATTTGGAATGTGCTACTTACTATGGTCTTTTATATTTTTTTCTTTAATTTCCATAATACCTTGTATATTATCTTATTAATACTTTGTTAGTTTTATTCTCTTTGGCTATCTAACTTTTAAAGTATGTATGCATACACAAATATTTTTAAATTTGGGGGACATTATTAAATTCTTGTAAAATGAAGCTTTTTGCTGGGTAGAGATTGACTTTATAAGCTAACTGACTAAACTTTTCAATAGTGGAATAATTTTATTTCCATAGAATAGCTCATGCCTAAGGTTGTGATGTTAAGTTAGCTCTGAGCTAGAAAGGGATAGAAATTGAATTAATTGAATTCTATAGAATTGTGTGTACTTGTCTCAGCATATTTAGTCAGCATATTTAGTTTTCAAACTTTAAACTCTTTAAAAAACTACTAAAGGTGCTTTTTTTTCCCTTTTTCAAAATTTTAGGCCCACCCAAAATACTTGAGTTGTATTGCAATCAGCTGTTTTTTCCTAGCTGCCAAGACTGTTGAAGAGGATGAGGTAATAAATCCTTTCAAGATTAGTTGTTTCTCTTTTTTCTCTTATTAACTTGCCTTTTGTTTGCCAAGACAAAAATTTAACGTGAATTTATTTCTGTCTTCTTCCTGTTCCCCTTTTCTTTGGATAGAAAATTCCAGTACTAAAGGTATTGGCAAGAGACAGTTTCTGTGGGTGTTCCTCATCTGAAATTTTGAGAATGGAGAGAATTATTCTGGATAAATTGAATTGGGATCTTCACACAGCCACACCATTGGATTTTCTTCACATTGTAACTATACCTAGTCTTTCAGTTTCATATTTCAATATGTATGTAATATATAAATTATACCCAAAATTTTTCTGTAATTTGAAAGAGATTACCCACTCTTTTTTTTTTTGTACTGATTTTTAGGAAAACTATTTGAAATTAGCTAAGGAAAAGTTAGAAGTATGATATATGTCAAATCTCTGAAGCTAAAGTTGCAAATTTAGAACTTGAGTAATACCTGAGGAGATTACATCAATTTTTATACATAATTTTCTGCACATTTAAATAAAATTAAAATAATAATGTTCTTTTTATTTTCAGTTCCATGCCATTGCCTTGTCAACTAGGCCTCAGATACTTTTCAGTTTGCCCAAATTGAGCCCATCTCAACATTTGGCGGTCCTTACCAAACAACTACTTCACTGTATGGCCTGTAACCAACTTCTGCAATTCAAAGGATCCATGCTTGCTCTGGCCATGGTTAGTTTGGAAATGGAGAAACTGATTCCTGATTGGCTTCCTCTTACAATTGAACTGCTTCAGAAAGCACAGGTAGGCCAGTCTGATTAAATAGAATTCATTTTGTTTTTATTTTATTGGGGTACATAAGACATTTCTAATCTGTAAAGGTAAACTATTCTTTAGAGTAGAAAAGAAGAAAGTGTTATACACTTTAAACTTGTGGGGTAGGTGTCTTTTTCTTTTACAAAATTTTCATTTTTTTAATTATTATTTTCAACCCTTCTAGGTTACTTAATATCTAAGAATTTTGAAAACTGAAGATTCTCAATATATTCCCCTTTAGTTTTATATAAAGTAACTTTGGTTGTATTTAGTTTGTTAGTAGGTTGATAAATCAGCAACCATCTAAGCAAAATTTCAAGATTTAGTGGAGAAAGTTCTCATTCAAATGTCAAGTTAGTAACAGTGCTATATATTATCAGTTACTTGGAGGGAATCCTTATTGGTTCATTATATCACTAAGTAGAATTCATCAAGTTTAGATCTGTTGCAAACCATACTCCTACCCTTAAAATAAAAGACTGAAGAACTCCCTTTCACTTTTTATGTCTATTTATTCTCATTTAGCTGTACATTTTCTTGTTATATTGATTTTATTTAGAAGACAAATTCTGAGCTTAAAAACATAAAAGAAAAATAATACTTGAATTTGCTGTTCGGTAGGATATTATTGATGATGTTTAATGATGAGCACTCTGAAATTAGGAGACACTGAAGAAGTATCTCAGTGCTAAAACCTTACCTTCTGAGAATTTTGGATCGTAGTTTGTGAGCAGAGAAGAACTGAGTCTTTTCATAAAAAAGATGATGAGACCAATATATTAGCCTGTTGTACTACTTATGTAGTATAACAGGCTGTTTTCCTTTTATAAAGGAGATACATTGTTCTAATAAATACCATATCTTAGATTGAAATAACTTGAGTATTTCTTTCCATTGAATTAAATGGGTAATGAAAATAAATCCTAAGAGGTAGTTGCTATTTAGTGAGGAGTTTTAGAAACTGTCATAAACTACCATACAAGTGAATAGCATGAACCAGAAAATTGACTTTGCTTGCATCAGGTGTTGGAAAGTAAAGTTGAATATTAATCATCAACATTGGACTGTGAAGTTGGGGAATAGGCATTAATAGAAAACCTCCTATATTACCTTATTTTTTTTTATTGGAACGTGACCTATCTTTAAATGCTTCCTGAATTGGCCTATTTGTCTATTCCCAAGGTAGTTCAGAAAAAAGTTGCTATGTAAAGTGTTATTGTCATAAAGAAAAAGCAGATTTTGAAGCATAAATAAGAATGTTGTAAATAGCAGAGTAAATTCTGTAGCTTTGTGAACTTATTCTCTATTGAAGAACCCTGGGGAATCCGCTGATTCCCTTTTGTATATTTTGGGAGGGGCTAAAAGAAGAAAGTGTTTACTGAAATTTCTTTTCTTCTTAGCTGAATGAGTATTATAAACTTGACGTTTGACAGGATCTTCTTAGATCAACTCCTTTATTTTACAACTCTAGGGAACTTTGGACTTTGTTAGAGTCACATAGAACTTAACTAGTGAAGAAGACTTAAAAACCAGTGTTTTTTCCATACCACACCACTCTTAAAGAATTTAGTCCAGTGGTTTTCAGAGTTTCTTTTAGAAGTGGAACCTTTTCTTTGCCTTTCTCCTTATAACAAAATTTATACATACAATCCCAGAATAGAGTAGAAAAGTGGCCTTTGTAATAAGCATTCAGGGCAGAGACCTATTGGGGGCAGAGTCCTTACTGATCAGAATGTTTTCCTTTCTATAATCTGTTTGGACATACTTTGAACACTACTGTTCCATTCTTTCTCATATACATTATATGAGTATATTAGCAATTATATTCTACAAACATTTATTGAGAAATCTATGATCTACACATTGGGAAAACAATGATTTTAAAAGAAATAAAGGTTTCCGCTACATGTAGTATTCAAGCTGCAATGGGGTAGATAATAAACCAATACAAGTAAGCTCACAAAACTTGGTAGAGACTTTGGAATTTTGTGTAGCAGTTCTATCTGGCTAAGTTCACCTTTGTTCAGGTTGGAACATCAGGTATAGTATCTTTGTAATTGACCCTTGACAAGGCCTGGTCTAATATAGCATATTTTTGCATCAAACTGAGATCATGCCTGTAATAATAATAAAAATAATAATATTATTATTATTTATTTTGGCAGTGCTAGGGATCAAACTCAGGATCTTGCATATAGTAGACAAGCCCCCAGCCCAGTGCCAGTATTACTTCTGACATGATTCCCAGCATCTTGGTTTGAGGGGGAGGGTCCATTTGTAGACATTTTTGTGCTGTGAAGAGGCCACAATCACTAGGTCTGCCCTCTCTGCATTTGGGACAAGGTATGGTGAGTGTTCTCTGGTTTGAAAGGCAAAACTTCTCCCTCCTGGCCTTTCCCCCTCCCAAGCCAAAATTTTGTACTGCCTCTTGTTCTCTACTCTGGGACAGCTCAACCTTTTTTAACCCTTCTCTTCTTGCTCTGTTTAATGGCTGTGCTCACGTTCTCCCTGTGACTAATGTGGCCCACTCTTATATAATCTCAGGGTGTTAACTCTACCTAGATTAGTGTGGTGATCTCCCTAATTTCTAGTGAAGAAGTTCGTCAGTTTTCTAGTTTAAAACTAAAGTAGAGAATTGAAAAGGCTGACCCTCCCCACCAGAGTCTTCTCGTTATTCCTAAAGGTGCCTAAGGTCACACTTCCAGCATGTATTTTCAGTGCTGCTTTCTGCCCACCAAACCCAAATCTATTTGGGCCTATCCCTTTGTCATACTGTTGTACTTCTGTTTCTCATCAGTAACATATCTGAAATCTGTTTTAGTGCTTCTTAACCTATCTCCTTGTTAAACTAAATTAGTTTTGTTTTTCTGGCAGAGGATACATCATATTAAGATTTGGGGAGACAGTCATTAAAATTAATAATGGTTCTACTGGCACCAAGTAATTAGAAAATGTTCATTTTAAATGTTTTTAACAGATCCATTAGAGGACTTGTCTAGTATCTAGAGTTGTGGAAATTTCAGTATTATGTACATTTGGTTTTGCCACTGGATCTCAATAAGGATTTTTTTCTTTAGAAAAAGGTTAGATTGTTACTAGATGAGAGGTTTAATTTGATGTGTTCTTTTGGACAGAGGACTGCCTTGAGACTTGGGTGGAAGATAGAGCGCATTCAGATAGTATTAGTTTGATTGGGGGGGGGGGGTTCTGCTGGGAATTGAACCCGGGGCCTTGTGCATGCAAGGCAAGTACTCTTCCAACTGAACTATGTCTCCTTTTACTGACATTCTAGCTATTATTTTCTGCCAGTCTTCACTTCTAAAACAATTCCATATTTCTTTTTTTTCCCCTACACAGAAAGATTATGGTGACTTAGTCTTTCTACATATATGTATCATTTTTCAGGATTCTTCCATAGTATTATGCCCAGTGATCAAAGCTTTAATATTTTTATAATTTTGCTTTTCTGAGTTGCAACAGAAATTTAGTTGCTAAAGAACAAGTTTGTTAAACTTGGAACATTTTAGAAATAATTTCTACACCATAGTCTTTTTTCCCCACTATCCAATTTCTTTTATCTCTAGTACTTCTCTTTTATAAGCTGCTCAAAATATTGGCAGAAGCCCCAGTGCTTTTTTCCCAGCATTTCACCATAGGCTAGCTTATTCTACATCTCTAGGTTCTACATATGACCCAGCCTACAATAGTAAGCTTGATGTTGGGGGACTATCTTAAGTATTATTTTATTTAAGGAAATAAATTCCTAATACTAGCTAATATCTTACCAGTGGTGTGTTATCAAGTGCTCTTCAAAGTAGGGACAAAATATCAGTGAACAAAACAGTAGATCTTCAAATGCCATTTTCATGTTTTATTTCTGACAGTTTGAGGTAATTTTATGTCTGTATTACATGATGACTAACACGAGACTGTCATCCTTTCCTGGTTAACATATAATGAATATATTTAGAGATAAAATTAATTTTTGTGACCAAATATGTTCTTATAGAATGTTTTATTTTCCTTTGATTTCACTATAAAGAATTGGAGACACTCATATACTAAATGCTGCAGGTTATATAGGAATGAATAACACTTATTAAGAAAGGTCCAAAATACCTACAGAGTGCACAACACTAAGTGATCCCTGATAAATGTTCAAAAGAAGCTTCCTGAAGGTAATAGGGTTTAGTTAGGCTAGAGGCAATGGGTAATGCAGTTTCACAGGTAGAAACAGGATAAGCCAGGATAAAGAAAGAAAGGGAGAAAATTGTATGTAAATAGACCAGGCCTTTTGGTAGGAATGTAGAGCATAAATTTGGGATATGTTAGGAAATAGGGCTGGAAAATGAGGTTTGGGCTGATTATGGATAATAAGCCAAATTCCTTTTCCTTATTTGATATTTCTGGTAGGCATTGGGGTACTACTAGAGAAATTTGAATAAGCTAGATATATATGATGTTGTATGTTATTTAGACAGTGCTATAATTACAGGTAAAGTAAGACTTTTTACCCAGTTAAGATTTTTAGAGGTCTTACTTGTACAGGCATTCTACTAGAAACTTAGTGATGTGATACAGTGCTTATAATTTGAGATCTTTTAGTCTATAATGGAAAAGCTAAGTGATCAAACAGATTATTCTAATACAATATGGAAAGTATGATGATACTTTGATATAGAAGCAGAGGACCATAAATTGGGGGATTCAGAGGGTTGGAATCAAGTGTGACTTCAAAAAAGGACTGATACTTGAACTATTCTGAAGGATAAAAAGGAATAAGCAAAATTCCCAAATCAAATAGAAAGATTAACAAAGATATTGCCTAGTATTTTTAAGTTTTACTGTCTTCTATAAAAATGTGTCTAAAGTTTTAAAGCAAGGTACTGAAATTGTTTTAATTCTTAGATAAGCTTCCCCACCCAATTATTTTCCCCCTTGCCTCTGGCTTCTTCTTAAATTCTTAATGACTTTTGTATTTATCTTCTACTTTGATCTTCATGGGAAAACATTAGAAAAGGCCAAAAAGGGTAAGGTGAAGGGTAGACAAAAATAATAGACTGGGGGTGGGGTGGGCAGGGATGTGATAAGTAAACAAACAGACAAAAAGACATTGCTTATATAGCAGTGAACAAAAGAGAATAGATTTTTGATCCCAGGTAAATGTTCAGCATATAATTGCAGATATAGAATTCAAGTTCCAGTAGCCAGGTGTGGTGGGTCACACTTGTTATCCCAGCGGCTCAGGAGGCCGAGACAGGAGAATCACGAGTTCAAAGCCAGCTTCAGCAATGGCGAGGTGCTAAGCAACTCGGAACCTGTCTCTAATAAAATACAAAATAGGGCTGGGGATGTGGTTCATTGGTCGAGTGCCCCTGAGTTCAATCCCTGGTACCCAAAAAAAACAAAAGAGAATTTAAATTCCCGAAATATTTACATTAGATATGGACACAATTTAAGATGGGGTGGGTAGGCCATAGGCATTTATAAGTTTGAAGTAGATGTGGGAAAAGAAGAGAAAGCTGAAGGAACAAGAGGATGCAGCAAGGAAAAGTGGCCAGCAAAGATTCAATAGCCTATTTTAATTAATGATCAATGTTGTTTTTCCCCCTCCTTGGTCCAGATGGATAGCTCCCACTTGATCCACTGTCGGGAGCTTGTGGCACATCACCTCTCTACTCTGCAGTCTTCCCTGCCTCTAAATTCCGTTTATGTCTACCGTCCCCTCAAGCACACCCTGGTGACCTGTGACAAAGGAGCATTCAGATTACATCCCTCCTCTGTCTCAGACCCAGATTTCTCCAAGGACAACAGCAAGCCAGAAGTGCCAGTCAGAGGTACAGCAGCCTTCTACCATCTTCCAGCTGTCAGTGGGTGCAAGCATACCTCTGCTAAGCGCAAAGTAGAGGAAATGGAAGTGGATGATTTCTATGATGGAATCAAACGGCTCTATAATGAAGATAGTGCTTCTGAAAATGTGGGTTCTGTGTGTGGCACTGATTTATCAAGGCAAGAGGGACATGCTTCCCCTTGTCCACCTTTGCAACCTGTTTCTGTCATGTAGTTAGCTTTCAGTGCAAACTAAGGTTGACTGTTCTGGGAATCAGAATATGCAAAACCAGGAAAGTCTGTAGAGGGCTGTGTATCTTATCCAGCTGGTTTGAAGTGAGCCAGGAAAAAGTTTCTTTTTTTTCTTTAATTTCATTTACTTGTGCAGCTAATTAAATTTTTTAAAGGCCTATAAACACAAAAGATCCAAAATATTTTTTAAAAGTTAAAAAAAAAAAAAAAACTTCTTTGTAGTATACCAGTTTCACTTTTCTCTGCTAAAATGTAGTTTGCCCCATGTCAAAAATTACACCCTTAATGTTCCGAAAAAGTTCTAAAACTCTAGCAACTGTGTTCCTGTCATCCTGATTTAAATTGTATTGCTTTTGCTTGCTTCTCCACTGAATATTTAACAAATTTTATGTTCATCTCTATCTTCTGACTTCACTGAATAGGTAACCCTGAATTTTTTTTTTTAACCAGTTTAATTTAGTATGGCAGCCATGTACAATTCATGATTCAACTCCAGTTAATCTGAAAAGGGTACTTTGGAATTATCCCATATGAATCAGGTGGTAGTAGGAAAAAGTTCTCATGTTACCACATGATTTTTTGATCTTATTTCAATTTTTAGAGTTTAAAAACAAAGTAACTTCATTTTTGTTTAAAGTGAAGCTTGAAATGGCATGTAATTAAGACAGATTTGTTGAAAGCATTTTTGACAGTTGTATAAAAGAATTTGTGATAAAGTTAATATATCCCGGTGCTTACCAAAGAAACATGTATGTAACCTATAATTAGATTTTTTTGGTAACTGATTTGTTTTCACTCACTGATAATCAGTAGGAGAGACTGTCTAGATATTGGGGCAGCTCTAATGATTTGAGTCTTGTAATATGTAATAACTGAATTTAGTACCCTACTTTTATGTTAAGCTATTAGGACTTTCTTGATAAAAGTTATTCTCCTCTCCCCCACCCCAATATACCTATGTTTTTCTTAACTTCTGGATCCTGAGCTCCCTTCACAGTCTGAAGAAAGTATTACAGCCAGAACCATGTACTGATGATAAAAAGCCTCTGGAAGCAATAAAAAGTTGTCCTTAATCTTTGTGTCTGAAGTCCCCCCCCCCCCCTTATGAAGGGACAGTTTCCTGGGTACTTAGGCACTGCTATTTGAACAAAGGAAAACAATAGAAAATATTAAGATATGTTTACTAAAAATAAAACATGAAAAAAAAAAAAGGGATATGAATGTGACAAGGATGCAGGTTTTAGACATGAGAATTTTCCCTTTATGGTGTTTTGTCACTGATGGGCTGTGGATCTTCCAAACAGTAAATTTTTATACTAATGGGACTGTGTAGGGGAAGGCCCAGATCTGCATCTAGGAAACATTTTTAGCCCACTGATTTTGTTCAGGTATAGCAGAGCAAGGTTGAAATTTTATAACCTTGAAGGGGAATATTTTGCTTATGTCTAAGTTCAGGGAATGAGGGAAGATGATAAAGAAATTGTTATTGAAGATAGCAGGAATTGGCCTCAGATACATATTTTTTAAAATTCCATAACTGTATATTCACAGTATCTACAAAACAAATGGCACTTAGTTCCCCCCACCCCCATAACAGATGACATAGTTTTGTTATGTAGAAAGCCGGGAGTAAAATTAAATCCAGATTTAGAATAATTAATTTTTAGTCCTAGAGCTTCAAGTTGAGCAAAATTAGAGGGCAACAGGATTTTGATCATTTGATCTTGAGTTTTTCTAGTATTAAAAATGGATAGTAGTTGGGTGCGGTGTAAATCCAGCTACTCTGGAGATGAGAATACAAAGTTTGAGGCCAGCCTCAGCAACTTAAGAGTCCCTGTCTTAAAAGTGGTGCTGGGGATGTAGCCCAGTGGTACAATGCCCCTGGATTCAATCTCCAGTACTCCACCCCACCAAAAATAAATATATAAAGCACAGTGCTACATACCAGTAACTCCTGCTACTTGGGAGACTGAGGTAAGAGGATTATTCATGCCCAGGAATTTGGGACCCAGCCTGGACAAATGTAGCAAGACCCTGTCTCTCCCCCAACCCTCCCCAAAATGTGGTAAATCAGTTTGGAAACAGTATTATTTCCATGGGACACTGAATCAAGTGGGTGGTTGGACTTCTAGTTTTCATGCCTCAAAGTTCATTTAACCCATAGTTCAAGTTATAATACTTGAGACCTGACCCGTGTACCCTTTCAATATGTGTTCCCTGGTAAGTCTAGAGAACTCAGCCCACTTTCTATGGTCTCTTTGAAAACTCTGGCTTGAGAAATAGCAGTGAACTAACTTTTCATTAAGAATATTCTAACTATTCCTGTTTTATCCAAAACGTAATCTGTCCCAAGTTGGTATCTTGGCATGACAGCCAAGATTTGGGAACTATGTATCATAATTGTTTGGTGCCTCCTGGTGGTTATAAGACCATTCCATGAAGCCTCTGGAAAGGCTAGGAAACTTGATGGGCATAAAGTAGTTCTTCTCTAATACTCCCACAGAAGAGGGGAAGAACATGCTGTAGTTCTTGAAGATGAAACTATAAGAGACTATTAAAGAATAATATGAAGTTAGTTACCTGTGGAGAAGTGAATGTTTCCCCTATAGATGGATGATTGTCTTAGTGTGAAGGGAGAAGGAGAGCTGGGAATGAGTGCTTCCAAACACCAAAGAAAGCAAATGTAACACACTTGTGAGAAATATTCCTGACACTGCCTTTGTCTCTGAAGAAAGCTCTTGACTCAGTTGCCTCAGCTTCCCACTGTTGAGGGAATTGAGAGATCAGTGTCTGCCCACCCAAGAAGTACTATTTCTTCTCTGTGTTAGAGCCAACCACTTTTGTGTTGTCTATACTCCTCACATACCTGGATTGTCAAGCTTCCCAGTTAACTCTTCCTGAAGCAAGAAGGCAGGTTGTGCTTGAACATTACTGCCCAAAGCAGCATGGTGTTTTCTTCCCTTGAGCAGAAAATGTTATTAAGCTAATGATGCTCAGCCAACATGACGGGTACCTTATCTTCTTTCTAAGGTAGTTTGTACATTCTATAACTGAAAAGGGAAGACACTGTGCCATACTTTCTCACAATCATCCTGAGAGAAGCATCTCTGGTTTACATTATCAAATTGAGGGTTAAGAGAGTTGTACAGTGCCACATAGCCAAGAATTTTGAAAGAGGTTCAACTTCTAACTCATCTTAAACCTCTACCCTTCTATTTGACATCAGGATGTTTTGACTAACATGTAAATGTCACTTCTAAAGCCTCTCAAATTCTTGAAATTAGCATTTAAACTATGTTAATAACAGTTTTCTATACTTACTAAATAATGCTTTGAGCTTTGACCACTAGATGGTGCTTCCAGAAAAAGAATCATTCATTGTTTTAAATTTCTGAAAGAAATTGAGTTTTGGGGGGCTTCATCTAAGGTAATGAGCAGTTGAACACTGCCCTGGTTACTAAGTGCCACTGCATCAACAATTTTTGCAGTTACTAGTACAGATCACTTAAGGTACAGGATGCATGTAAAACGGAATGTCAGCACAATCAGAGAAGGGTAAAAAAATGACTGGGTACCCAGTCTCAAACCAAAAACAAAACAAAACCCAGACCAATTTTACAAATTAAGCATCCTAATTAGTGAGTTTTGTGAGTCCTACAAAGTAGCCTAGAAATAAAACTGAGATGGTGTGAAAAATAGGTTCTAAAAGCTTGATGCTTGAGTTGGATTCCACCAGTCATTAGGACAGTAAAGAATAAAATGTTCACAGCCAGCATGCATCAAGGAATTAAAACTTTTTCTCCTCATAGTGATGAATTGAGTGGGTTTTACAAAATACTGATATGTAGGACAACTCCACTTCTGCCATCTGTTGATTACTCTTCAATGCACAACCAACAATGGCTTATACAGAAATATGAATTCACAATTCTAGTTTTGTAGCTCCCCACTTCTGAGTTAAGGATGAGGGAGAACTCTCCTTTTAGACTCAACATATAATCTTCATAGCAGATCAAATGTCAGAACTGTTGGTCTTATTATGTTACACAATAGCTAAGGCAATAAAGAAGGAAAAAAAATATTTTTTTTCTCAAATAGCTCTAGACACAGTGGACTGGTGTCTTATTTCCTGGGAACAGCTTATTTTATTACGCAGCAGATACCCCCGAATGAAGGGCAAACTCCAGCAAAGAACAACAGAAATGCAACTGGTAATGGGACTCTCTTGCTATTCAGAATATAATCTATCTTCAGATAAATTAGCAATGGAAAGGGCTTACTTTTTCCTTCACTCCAAAAATTTACTATGCTTAGGAGGTGTAGAGGGAGAAGTGCAACTAACATACGTTTGGTGCATTATGTAGAATAAAGTTTATGGAAAGGGAGTAGTATGGGTGGATGTAAAAAGCAAGGAGAGCTAGATCTGCAACTCATCAGAGTTCTAAAAACATGTACAAAGAATGCCTGGGTTATGCCCAACTCCTGATGGAATGTTATTCTACTCTTTACACAGACATGCACATTCATTCTTTTGTGGGACAGACCTCATTAAAATAGCCTCTGCCTCTCCCGAGGCATAATTTTGAAAGACAATTTCCACAAAGGAAGGGAAGGCCATTCAACTCATGGTACTTCAAATGATTTGAGGCAGATGTGGACTCTTGCACTCCATATGATGTTCCACTGACAACCAGCAGATTGCATTTCTATAGAGTTACTAGTCAGGAATGGCAATGTTGAAAAGGCTTACATGAGTCTTCACAAATGAATATATTCAGTTCCTTCACCAGCCCTGGGAATGACAGTTGCTCTCTGGAGATTGATCTGAAAGCCAGATGGCATCAGTCACAAGGACTAGATACCAGTCATAACAATTCAAGCACACGGGACTTCCAAGTGGGCCCTCATGCCCTCACTGTCAATCTCCACGGTAGAAAGATGGTAAATCATCTGTCAAACAAAAGGTTTCGTGTAGAAAGTTCACCTAAATACAGCAAAAAATTATGTACTTAAGCTTCTCGACAACCAGAACTATTTACCCATAATCTGTGCTAATGGTAGACAAAAATATAAATAAGGAATTTTCATACAAGTACTGTTGATGGGGAAGGAGGTTTAGTCAAACACTGGAATAATACCTTATTTTCATTTGCTATGGCTCAGTGTATACTGATTCAGAAGATCAGATGTCTCCTTTATTCTTGTGTTGTACTAATCTTAAGGGGACCATCTAGACTATGCCTGTATTAGGCAGAGTCTGTATCTAGTATCAAGTAATATTTTTAAAAGATTGAATGAAAAATTAAAAGGCTGTCGCCCATGGAAATACGTTCTGACAGCTAAGTTCTCCTTGCTTTTCTTTTCCACTATCTAGTTTGAGAAACCTAGTAATTTTTATTATTGCTGATCATTATCCCCAGGGTGGTTTCACACCCCTTTCACAGCCAGGAGAACTTGAGAACCTACCAGTTTTGCCAACACTTGAAAAAAGGAGCCACCGAAGGTAAAATGCCAAGTCAATGGCAGTCTTAAGAGAGATGGCAAGGCACTTGACAATGGTGTCCATGATTGGCTCCCCTAAGTTTACTGAATGGAGGCTAACCTACTAAGAACAGCCTCTGTTCCTATCAAGGTTACTCTTAGACTGCCTCTAACCTGGGGGCTAAGATTGAAAAAGAATAGCAACTTCAGACCACACATTTCTCTACTTAGAAAAATAATACTACCTAGACTTTTAAACATTGCTCAAAAAAATCTTTACAACTGATGCAGAATGTTCTTAAAATAATAGTATACAATTGATAAAATATTAAAAATAAGGGGCTTAAGAATAAAGCCAATTATACTTTCAATGAGACCTACATGTTTAATTCTATGATAATGTGTTATATTCTGGTATCAAAGAATTGTAACCCTTCTGTTGCCACTGATCCCATCACCAGATTTCTGTCTTTACAAATTGTGGTGTAGTACGAGGGAGACAGCTCTTGACTCATGGTTTCATTATCTAATGGCACAGAATAATCTGACTTTACTTACATTTAGTTTCTTTTGAATGCTCATCTCATGGCTTTAAGTAACCTCTTTCCAGGAATCAAAGCACCAGCCACTTTGCTTCGTCATTTATCTCACTGCCCAACAAAAGCATAGATTACCTTCTCATACAGAGGGGACCACTCCTAGGGTCCTGACCAATTCATGCTACCAATAGTATTTTATGATCTACCTACTAGAGCTGGAAAAGATGCAGATAAGCAAAACTATAGGTAAGCAATGAACTTGGAAGGTAACTTCTTCAAAGGCATGACTATGTTCTACTATCTACTGTTGAATTTGAAAATTGTACAACAGGTAGAGCTTATTTAAGTTATGGAGCCCTGAATCTGACTCATCACAACCAAGTCAGCACTGGAAATCAGACTCACGCAAATGGCAAAAGTGTGTGTTTGGATGTGGGTGTATCTGAAGTGATCCAGTGCTTTCATGACCAGCAGATATTTTGCAAACAGTGTGGCAAAAACCTCTGGGTCACTCTGAGAAGACACTGTCAATCAGCCCTTGTTAACGATGCTGTCATGTGGGAGGGAGCTGGAATGTGCTTGTGTGGGGTTCATTTCTCATGGTGCAGGACACACGGGTCCTGGTGAAAAACCATGGACACAAGGTAAAGCAGAGCTTCACAACAAATAAAAAGGCAGGAATGGATCAGAAAAATCACTTTAAGGTATCTTTAAATATAAATTGAGCCCCAGAGGCAGAAAAGTCATCTACTCATTTTAAACATGATTAAGACCCATAGATCAAAAACCCTAGTAACAAAAAAGGGGATGATTTTTTTTTTTTAGTTTTGTCTAAGATGAAGAGAACATATTAAACAGAATTTTGTGACTTAAACTTCACTCATATTTCCCCTTGAAGTGAGCTTAAAACTAGCATAATTTTGATACCAAAAGTAAGTTTGAACAACCAATACAAAAAACAAAACTAACTATAGAATTTTTTCCCCAAAAAAAACTCCCAAAGCAGAATCCCAATCCCAAACAACTTGTATAAGAGATGCAGGTAACAGAAAAAGGGTCAAATAAAACAATGGTTCCTGAATTTAAAGGAAGGATGCCCACTTCTCTTTCTCAAGAGGCAGATGGTCAGCTGAAAAATAAAAACATTGTATCAATAGGACACTCCAAAGGAAAAAATTGCAGCCATCTCTGTTCATGCAATATCAAATGTTAAAAAAAAAAAAAAAAATCCCAAACACCAAAACAACCCACAAGCCCACAAAACTAACAGAAGGAAGGAACACGTTGCCCAGATCTTATGACCTGATGGTAGTGAGGATCCTGATGGGGCTGTTCAGAATGTTGCTCATGGGACAGAGAGGTCGGGAGTTACCATGAGATCAAGTTTGCCCTGGAGGTGGGTCCACCTCAGGTTAGGGTCCATGAGTTCATGGATCAGCAGCATCAAGAACATGACAGCTAAGCAAGAGGATTCCGGCACAAGACCTTGGGTCTGGGCCCAAGTTTTCTGTTTCATTCTATTTCCTTTTAATTAATATTATTAACTATTTTTGGTAGTGAAGTCACTTCGGTAGCCACTGTGGGCAGTGGTTTGTAAACAAACATTGACAAATACAAACAGCAGTGCAATATTTGACCCAGACTTTAAAAGAACGGGAGGCGATGGTGGAAATGAGGTAACTCTTCCCCAACACGTGTGAACAGACAGCTCCTGCTCTTCTAATGCTCTATGTCCATTAGGAGAGAGTAGGGCTTGTCAACAGGATGGTTACATAAAGAAGAAGCTACAGAAGAGAAAAAAGAAAGGTTCAGATTCAAATTTGGTTCTCAAAACCTTAAAAAAAAAAGTGCTTCTCTATAACAAGCTGTGAAAGAACAGCGATGTGTCAGTTAGAGGGATGATATCACTGAGCACAGCTGGAGGCACAGTGGCAGCGTGGGCACCGCAGGCACGGGTCAGAGAAGAGAATACCTCTGCTGGGCACCCAGACACGTGAATCCACAGGGCAGGCTGGGACAGGAATGGAGGGAAAGGGGTGGGGACCATACGTGAGCTGCAGGACACGACATGGCAAAGTGTCTTGGAGAAGCTGGAGCTGCCCGTTGAGCAGCATCTGAAGTCCACCACGCAAGGCAAGAGAGCGTGAGACACTGCCATCCCTACTTAATTTATCCAATATAATAAGCACGTGTATGTACATATGGATATCAAGCAGTGACTAAAAAGAACTCACAAAAGGGCACACAAAACAATGTTTGGGTAAAAATATATTTTCCCCTGCTTAATGTCTTGGCACTAGTGATATATGCATAGATTACCTGTTCACCACTCTCCTACCTTAACAGACACCAAATTATGCAGCACGCTGCTGATTAATTTCATACTTGAAAAAAATGAGACTTCACAATAATACAATTATTTTAGTTCTTAAAAAAGACAAGTGTCTAACATGCATCTTACATATATGACAATTCTGCATTAACACTGAAAGTAGATTACACAACAGTTTTAGAAAACACATCGGTTATTTTCAAACAGCAAAATGACAAGAATCTACAGCTACAGTTTAAGGCATATCAGCATATTTTAAAAATTAAGAAATAGACAAAGTTCTAATGCTGTTCACAGCTTAATTTTCAATTTACTTTTTAAAATTCCCTTCATACCTACATACAAACTAGACTTTGTAGGTCATAATTCCCGCTAAAGAATCATCGCACATGTCCTGCCAACAGAACCAGGACTTTGGAAGCTGAGACTTGACAATTCCAGACACTTGCAAGGGGCAAAGCCAAGGAATCTGAATGGACAGTTCAGGTTGGACCACACAGAGACAGCATGACGTGGGCCAGGAACAGCTGAAAAACCCGACTCAACAAACCATGTGTGAAACATTTATGGATACATCAAGAAAGTCAGGAAAACATGTGCGTTCATCGGAGGTGCACAAGATATGGAAAATAAGCATATTGCTGGTGAGTTACAAAGCAGGGAAGGAAGATTACAAGACACCTTGCCCAGCGTTGTTAACAGTTCCCTGGTTGAGAAATAATGCCTTTTTAGACAAAACCTTGACCATTAATGCAGAGCCTATGCTGGGAAAACCCAGTCTCTGACCTGCAATTAAATTCCCATACGTGCTCTTCCATCACATCCTACAACACATGCAACTATTGGGGGTATGTACAGTCCAGAAGAAAGAAAAAGACGGTTATTATATTTGAACAGAAGATGGGGGGCAGGAACTGGAACTAACTGACCAAAAAAGAAAAAGAAACAAAACAATGACCACTGTTACTGTTAGCACCAAGGAGAGCCCATTTATCAAGATCCAAAATTTAAGTGATCATGAAGTCGGCCCAGCATAAAAGGTTTCTTTCTTTTTGATTTGCTCCAGTGGAAGGTGGCAGTTTCTCATTCTAGTTTACAATGTCAGAGTCAAGGACTCTGTGTAACATCCAATGATGCCCATGATACTGTGCAGAACACAGGCTGGGATCAGGATTTCCGATTTCCACATTGAAATCAAGGAGTTGAAAAACATGTAAATTGTCGGGGGGGGAAACATGGCCACTTTAGATATTTTTAATTTGTTTAGAAGAAGTTACTCAGACCATTCTCTCTCTACCCCCTCAAAAAAAAAAAAGGAAAAAGAAAATCCATCCATCCCATTTGTTTTCTCTAATTTTAAAGCGTTAGAAAGATCTGGAAGATTTCTCACTACTATACTTACATGCAAAGGCGAAAGCACATCCAATTAGATTTGAGGATATCATTTATTCCGTGCAGAGCCAAGGACTACTGTGAAAAAAGGCACAGATACAGAAAGAAAAAGAGCAGCAATAACAAACTAAACAGGGCTAGGGAGCAGTGGTAGAAAAAAGTTCAGAAGCAACACATTTTTTTGAAAAAAGCTTCTATATGTTTCTTTTGACTTTTTATTCCCTGACTCTCCATCTGATTCATTTTGCTGTGTAAATTTTAATGCAAAAAAAAAAAATCAATCCAATCAATCAATCATCTTGGAATCAAAAAGTCAGCAGGATGCTTTTCGTGCTAGGCTCATATTTAAAAGCTTTCAGGGATGCGAGAAATAGAATTGAAAAGTATGTTTTCTGGTTACAAGGCACAAAAATGCTCACACAAGCAGTGGTTGGAACAAGCATATGACACAAAGATTCAAGCTTTTGTGTAGTGCTCAGCATAGGAGCAAACACAGCCCATGGTTAGAGTCGGCATGCTGTCTAGTGCTGGACAGCCAGCTTCAGAGCCTCAGAACTGCTATACAAACAAAAGCTAAGACAAAAATGATGGTCTAATAGCTTCTCAACCTGTGAAGACCATAACTGCTGCTGGTCTAGTTGGCAGGGTCTTTCCCAGCTTAGTTTGCATTCCAGTGAAACTCATTTCCTTACTTTGCCTAATTAAGCCTACATCAGGTTCATGGGAGAGTGTCCCTTCTTTCCCCTCAGTATGACTGGGGACAAAGAGAAGGTTGGGGGGATCTTTGTTGGAATCAAATACTTATTACTTTAAAAACAAAGTGTGTGTCAGGGGAAGGGAGGTGCAGCATATTCTATCTTGTTTAACTTAATATGCAACTGGCGATGGTCAGAGGGGAAACCCAGAGGTGACGTGTTGGGTTCATGAGAAATGTTATCCTTTTAAGTAAGAAGTAGGAGAGGACAGGGTTAGAAAGCTGGGAGGATCTTGTTGGGATCAGGGGAACAAGCATATACAAAGGTAAGCATGTGAAAGGACTGGCACAGAAAAGAGATCAGATATGCCCTTCTCCATACAAATCAGGAAGGTAGTATATGTCCTGGCCTATGAGTTAGTCCCAACCCTGGATGAGACGGTGGGCCTGAGACACAAAGGGCAGGTAGAGTCAGTCACAGTGAGGGGACAAGTGTGGAAATTTCATTCAAGACAATTGGATCTGAAACATCAGCAAGGAAACTGGCAGTGAAGTTGAATTTCTTTTCTTTCCTTTTTATTTTTTTGGACTCATGGGTTTTGTTGCCTGCCTTCTCATTTTTACCTTAAATTGCTGATGTCTTTTCAAATTTGTGCTACAGATGACACACACACAATTTATAGCAAATTTCCTATGTGAAGTATTTGTGAAACTTTCTCTCGTGGTTCGTGAATAGTTTTATTACAAGTACCAATGTCCAGTGCCTCAGCCTGCTGAGAGCAAATGTAGGAAAGGGTCCTCAGTGTAAATAGATTGTGGGAAGCCCATCCTCCTCAGTGGAAGATTCTTCTATAATCAGTGATATAGGACCTGACCTTTGAGATCTTGATCGAAGGGAGGATGAAAAACACACTGGCCAACGTGAACATGATCATCATTTCCTTACACCAGTCGGTGCCAACTCGGTTAGGCTTTGAGTGGGTGTTCAGATGCAGTCTCAACCCCTGAGGGGAGACAGTTGGAACAGACCACAAGCTCAAGCCAATAATGTTAGCCATTAAAACAAACAAAAATTCATGCAAATGTAAAAGTCATCTATGATGCGCACCCACCTTTCTGCCTACATTCAAATCTATCTTAGTTTGGGGCTGGTGTGGAAAAAAAAAAACAGGGAGTTCGGTATTGTGCAATCATAGAGATGAACAATCAAGAAAATGCAAGTTGTTGTCATGGCTATTCAGGGTTTTAGTTCAGCTGCTGAGGCGGTGAGAAGTTTTCACATCAGACGTACAGGTAGCATTTTACCCACTTTCCTCGATCCAAAGCGACATACAAGTAACAGGCATGCTTCCCGCTGCCATTCGGAACAGGCATAAAAAGGGCAAATCATTTAATTTCCAGAAACAAAGTCCAGCTGCACAGAGCCTTTGCTGTTATTCCCTTGTTCTATGGTTTTCCACCACCCGACAACATTCAGCAAAATGAGTTAAGAGTTATTGGTGTTTGGGGAAGGGCAAAACAAAATAAAACAAAAGGACACAGATGGCAGAGATACACTATTACTGCAAAAGCAGGTGAATGCGGGAACATCCTTGGCTTGCCAGGCTTTATGTGAAGCTTGCACTGCAAGTTAAAAACAAAACAAAAAAGTTAGAAATAATAATAAATAAAAAAAAGAAAGGAAAAATTAGGAGCGCCAGCACCAGCATTCAGTGATGGTGAATGCTCATGCAATGATTATGGAACTGACAGAAATTAAAAACCAAAAATCTGAATAGGCTATTCTACATGACAAGCAAAAGCAAAATTTTAATACTGAATCAAAGAACACGTGGTTAGTTTCCATTTGCATGTAATTTAGAATTCACAAGTGACTTCTTGAAACCACTGCATGTTCCGGTGGAAGGATTTACTGTTTGGTTTTTTGTTTTCTCAAATAACACACAACCATGATCTACTGGATGCTGTTATCACGTTAGCACTGAATAGGAACTTCATCTTCCACTTTTTGAGCTGCTAAAGGAGTCAGAGAATAAATACACAATAAATGCCTTTGTACAAATGACTTGGAAACATCTACAGTAGCTTGGGGATTAGAATATAGTGGATGAAGACATGCTACTAATCTAGTTGGGAAGGACAAAAAAAGATCATTATATGGTTACAGCTACTGCAATGCCGAGAGCTTTCCCCCTCTTTTAGGAACAAAGCAATGCCAAACCCAAGATCCATGTCTAATTTTAGGCAAATCCAAAACATGCAACTTTATTTCTTCGCAAAAATCAAAATGTATGTGTGCTTAAAAACAAAGGTGAGTAGATGGTTGGGTAAACTGTTACTCCATGCCAGTTTTTAAATGATGAATCTGAAAGCTTTCTTTTGGATTAGATGCATTTTAACCAGCTAATGCCTACTGGCAATTGTGCAAACTGTTTTCAGAAGAGATGAATGCTGTCCACTGAACAACTTACCCTCGGGCAGTCCCACCACTGTGGTGTAGCCGCAAACAAGGAAATTGACTTGGTGGCCAGAGATGGCAGAGGTGGGGTCCAGCTAATGGCAGTGCCAGGGTTAGTTCTACTTTGTAATCTTAGGTAATGTTATATACTCTCATGCCACTACAGGTCAAGGAGAAGTATAAAGCCTTACCTATGTTAAAAAAGGAGCGTGTCATTAGAATAGAAAAAGAATAATTTTAAACTATTAGAAAAACTAAGGTAAGCTTGAAGGGGGAAGCATAGCATATTTTAAAAAAATATATTTTAAAAGCATATTTTAAAAAAAAAAATGTCTTTGTAAATTTTCTACCCCAAACAAAGCCAGCTCCTAAGAGGTGACTATGGCAGCTCTGGCACCTGATCCAGCTACACTAAGAGGAAGAGGCTGTTTCTGTGTGAGGTGCTCCTCTGGTTGCACTGCTTCCTGTCTTTCTGTGGGCCTCTCTAACCAAACCCTTCCACTGCCACAGGCAGTAAGAGGGGTGGATTTTTGTTTTTCCACTATGACACTTCAGGCCTCCAACCAGCTTTCACTATACAAAGGGGATATGAAAAAACATGTGCTATTGTGGGGCACAGAACCTGGTAACTATTATGAACCAAGTCTAATGCCATTAGTAACAAAGGAGAATATATAAATAAAGCTAAAACAGAATTCACACAGATGCCATGTAAACTTTAAAAGCTTAATTGGTAAGGCCCAAGATGGGAAGAAAATAAGCTAAAATATCCAAGGGGCAAGGAAAAAACCTCCCTGTGCTGGGAAGTTGGTTACTACGTAGATTTTTTAATGGAGGCACAATATTGATCAGCTCTTGGGATTTCCATTACGTAAAGGCACATCCAGTATACATGAAATATTCTTTAACATTGCTGGTCTTCTATAAACATTTTTAGTATTAAGACTTGTACCTTGATGCACTTTAGTGTTTTGGGGAAGGAAACCTAGACTTTGGGTTCTCTAAGCTGAATCAGCAGCTTTTTCTCTCATCCACACCTACAGACATACATGTACACACATACCATACACACACGTGCACCCTATTTTTATCTTGGGTTAGTCTGGATCGAGGGTACAAAGCCAAATGGCTTTCATGTGTCTTCACTGGAAGAGTCATGTAGCCTCTGAATTTGTGTGTGGACAACGTCACCCTAGTGTCAGATACTCTTCCAACACACAGAGCTAAGAAACATTCTCTTGAATTGGATTATGATCTGAGCAACTGATTCTCTCAGAATTAATCCAGGATAACCAATCTGGGGCCCTTGGACTCCTCTTTGGTCACTTACATCTGTACCCACCTCAGTTAAAATCACACCTCATCTACACCAACTATTTCTGTTATTGCTTAGAAAAGATGCCTGCCCCTTTACCCTTGACACATTTCCTGCTACTTGGCAAGTCAGCGTACAAAGTGTAGCTTAATATTCTCTCCATGTGTCACTGTAGCAGCACATTTTGATCTTTACTATAAGGGGACAATGGCTGTGCTCACTTTTTCCCTTTCAATTAGGATTGCACAGACAATCCTATGTGCTATATTTTTAAAGAATGTAATTTTTGCCTTTTTGAGTATATTTTTGTTGTTTGCCTGCTCTTTCCCTAGACCCCTATGGCATCTAAGGATGAAGAGCAAGAATCCTCAAACAAGCTCCGAGTTGCTTCATAGCTGCCCTAAGAGTATGGTAGGTTAAATAGACAAAAGAGGGTGGCATCTGTGGGCTTGCCACTGGGCCACCACATAGGTTTCCTTCAAAGGCCTTCTTATCACCATATTTACTATAACCAGCAGCTACTGTCATAAAACTCACTCTCTAGTCTTTAAGGAGATTCAAAGGAGAGATTCAAGTAACAGAATTTCAAGGAAGCTCAAATCTCCCCTGGGTTCAGGCAGCTGCTACTGGAGCATCCTAAGAAGTGACCAACTCAAGAGCAGAATCTGAACTTTTGGCACATTGACTCAAGACCATATTTAAAAACTGTTTTGTGAGACTTGAGGGTTGGCAGGGTATGTTAACGGGAAGGGCATTTTGACTGCATTTCACAATAAGATCATTCACCACCTTGTTGAATTTAGAGGAAAACCAGTGGCTACAAGCAGCTCTTCCCGCTGTTTTAGTTTGGGAACGTGATTCTCAATGACTGGCTTGCCAGGCCTTACAACACAGAGTGGGAAAACAATTTGAACAATCAAGATTTTAAGATGCTCTTTATCAAGAGAATCATGAGAACTGTCTTCAGAGGTACTGAAGAGAGATAAACCTGTCTTCTCTGAGAATCCTAGCGTTGGTGCAGACGATGCTATGGGAGATGACAGGTTAGTCCATCCTGATTGCTTGATCAACGTGGTCAAGTTTTATAAATAATCCTTGTGTACCCTTTAAAAATACTTTTAAAAACATTTATCATCTTCCCTGCACTGTAGAGAAAATACTTGCTTTTTATTTTTCTGGTAATAGACCAGTTTCCAGTCTGTCAATGGGTAAAGCAGACATGCAAGAGGAATAAATTGTTAGAGGTCCCCAGTAGATGGGGTGGCACCTGCTTACTTTTTCTTATCCTTGTCTTTCTTGGTTTGCTGGGCCCCAGACTGCTGGGCCTGGGACTGTAGTAGCTGAGCTGCTGCTTTCTTCTTCTGGAAATTGTTCACCTCGTCCTCGAGCTCCTTCTTCTTGTCTTCCACTTTCTTCTTCTCTTCTTGGTGTGTCCGCTTTAGAAGGTCAAACTTCTCGTGGAGCTGGAGAGAAAAAGAGGCAGACATGCTTGGAGAAGGGAAGGAAACTCTTACTAATGTAGACGATGAGAATCTGCTCAAAAACAAAAGTTGCATCATGTGGCTGCCGGTGCTTTCATTGCAGGAGCGAAGTACTGTCTGGTGGCTTATCGGAGGAGCCAGGCTAAGGTGTTCAGGGCATCCCTGAGTCCTAAGCTCCTTTGTTACTTGAGCTCCTTGGGGCTAAAAATTCCTTGAAAACCCTGATAAAAAGAAGATAACAAAAAAGTCCATCCTGGTAGTAAAAGCGCTTCTTTATTTCTGATTCTTTTTCACCATGTATGAAATACGTTAACTTAAGAGACAATGACTACAGAGATATAAACACATATCCATATTTAAAAAGCCACAATCACAGGATGGGGGTGTAGCTCAGTGGTAGAGTGCCTCCCGGCACGCGTGAGGCTCTGGATTCATTTTCCAGCAGACACACAGACACATTCAGAACCAAATACAGAGAGGGAGGGATGCAGAAAGGGAAGAAGAGAGGGAAGGAATGCTTACTAGATAATTTTAAATTTTTACCCATCATCCATTTGGTTCTTAAAGCCATAGCAAATAAAGCTCCATATTCCTTTCTTAGCAGCAAAACCATCTTGAGTGCTTAGTTATTCAAATGACCTCTAAGTTTTATTAGTCTTTTAAAGATAAATTAAATGCAACCCACCAGAGAGTGCCCTCCACTGTTGAGCCGAATTGTCTGATAGACTAAGATAATAATAACAGTTCCAGAATCCAGACTTTCATATGTCAAGAACTGTAAATTGAAGAAACACAGAGCTGCAAAGACACTATGATCAGGACTAGAAACCCAAGATCTAAATCATGCTACCTGTATGGTTCCCAGTTTTTCATCTGCAAAATGAGGATAAGATTATCTAGCTGAGTATGGTGGCGCACATCTCTAACGTCAGCAGCTCAGGAAGCTGAGGCAGGAGGATTGCAAGTTCAAAGCCAGCCTCAGCAATTTAGCAAGACCCTGTTTCAAAATATTAAAGAAAAATAAGCGGGGGAGGGACTGGGGATGTAGCTCAGTGGTTAAGCATCCCTCAGTTCTATCTTACTGTCAAAACCAAACCAAAACAAAAAAGATATCTGGCTCACTCTTCTTGCCAGGTTAGTATGCCACTTATGATAAAATATGTGCAGCAAGTACTTGAACTGGCATGAAATCCTATAAAATGCAAAAAAAAAAAAAGGATTATTAAAATAATTCTCCTAGATTTTTGTTTGTTGCAGGAGGACAGACAGCTTACCTCTTTCTCTGCCTCTTTAAGTTCAGCCTCTTTCTCCTTCACTCTCATAACAAACATCTGTCTCATCTCTTCTTCTTTCTTCTGCAGTTCTCCCAGGAATTCATTCCTTTTTGCTTCATAGGTCTCCTGAAGACTATTCAAAATCCACAAACCAAGGGCAGGGTTATGAAATTGCATAGTTATGAAATTTCAGTGTACATCATTTCTACCCATCTACTTCCCAAAACAAAGATAAAGCTTCTGCCTACCATATTAAAGCTCAAATAGAATGAAAGTTTCGTTTTTTTTTTTTAAAGTTATTTACACTGGGATTGAAAAGACAAGGGCATTGAAAACCAGAAATGAGTCAATAAACACAATGCTGCACTAAGTTTTATCTCACACACGTTCACACAGGGATAGCCTGGGCTGAGGGTGTGATTTTGAGTTTTAGAAGATGAAGGTGGCCTAGTAGGGGGTGAAATGAACAGGGAATGAAGTCAGACAGAGCAAAATTTGAATTCTGGCCCCACCAACTGACTGACCTTGGGAAAGGACCAGCCTCTCTAACTCTGCAACTATGAGACGTGGATACAACACCACTTACCTTCTGGGATGCGATTATTAGAATTAGATGCAGGACAAGTGAGTAAAGGATTTGACATAAAATCAGTGCTTAATTAATGTTCCCCTTCCTCCACTCATCTCCCTCCAGCCCTCAATCTGAAAAGCAGACTCAGTGAAAATACTAGAGAGACAAGAGTACTTCTAAGGGTAGAAGAGAAAACTGCTACTTTTCAAGTTATATCACCAAATGTAAATCGTGCAGGAAGGATTTTATTTTCATTTTAAGCCCCATCTTCTTCCTGTCTGCAGAACTGAGAGCCTAATATTTTATACTGAGTGCCATAACGCAGCTTTATCTCAGTCAGAACATTTACAGAGAAAATTACATTTACAGAGAAACTACCTTTGATAACACAATCAAGAAAACACACCCCACCCCACAGGTGCACTATAAATAGCTACTGATATTTTACAAGGTGTTCGCCCCCGCACCCCACCAGTTTCCCTAGAATAATGGTTGTATGGAGTCTGCAATACAATGTTTGTATTATATCTACCTTTACTCATGGACCTAATTCACCCCAGGGATAAACTACAAACTGAATATAAACTGTGGAGGACCCAGGGTCCCTGTAAAGCCCACACAATTGCCACAGAAACATTAGATGAAAAGAAGGGGGGGCAGGGCATGAACTGAACAATTAGGTTAGGATTAGAATCTATTAGTTTGGATGGTTGCACTTCTATAATTATCACCCTTATTAGTTTATGAGAAATAAATTCTCCAGTCCCCAACACTGCCAGCCCTATCTACTTGTGAACAACCATGAGTTTTGAGTTTCCATAAATATATTTAGCTTTCATATTATGAGACAAATACAAGTTGGACAGTGTTAATGTTAGGTAATACTAATAGCACTATTTGGTCTATAGTCACTGAGAGACAGAATTCTGTTGGCAAGAAAACTATAAATAATTCATAAATTTGGTTTTGTCAGCTTGTAATAAACTCTTGTAATAAACTCACTGTTATGTGGGTCAGAACTACCAAAGGAAGCTAGGCATGGGGGTGCACGCCTGTAATCCCAGTAGCTCAGAGGCTGAGGCATGAGGATCACGAGTTCAAAGCCAGCAACTTAGTGAAGCCCTAAGCAACTTGGCAAGATCCTATCTCTAAATAAAATATTTAAAAGGGCTGGGGTTATGTATATATAAAAATTGACTTGATGGTTAAGCACCTGGGTTCAGTTCTTGGTATGAAAAAAAAACTGCCAAAGGAAGAGAATGACTTGTCCTTATTATGAAATGTTACAGAAAACTCAATTTCTGTTGATTTTAGTAATGAACAAATCTCTCTTCTAACAAGCAATGGAATACCTTATCATGGAAATGATACCCAACGTGGTGTTTTAGAGATCACCACCTAGTTTCAAGATAGGATCTCTGAATGAGGTTTCCAAAACTGGGAGTTAGGTGCTGTGTGTGCTTCTCCTTAAAAGGATTCACAATGCACAGGGCATCCCCTGGCAGCACAGCAGGACCAATGGGCACACCTGAGTATACTTTTTCTAAATTCAGATTTCCAAGCCCACTCCTAGAGATGCGAATTCAGAACATCTGGCTAAGGTAACATCTGTATTGAAATGCTTTCCGGGAGATAACAGGTAACCAGCTGGCTAGCCACTGCTTATTTGAAGTGCTCTGAGAAGCCCTTCAGTGAAAGAAACAGGTGGACTTGTTTTAATGTTTTATCATAGGAACTTTCTGAAGGAACTCACAGATAGAATGTGGTTTGAGTAATGCTACCCCAAATACGGAGAACTCCCACGATGACTCTGTTGTATCTAGTCCCAACCACAACCTAACCCATGCCCCTGTTTCTGGAAATACATTTTCAAACTATGTATCACAGTCCAATCATAGATCTCAATCATGATTTTAAAAGAATAAGATCGAGACTAGGACAGAAAGCAACAGAGTGCAGTGCAAACAGAAGAGTTGGTGTGTCGACACCCGATCACAATGGAAAATGTTTTGTATACTCCAAATTCCTGTCTTGAAGATTAACATTTAACAGGGATGAGAGGTGGGAGGGAAAGGGAGAGAGAAGGGAAATTGCATGGTAATGGAAGGAGACCCTCAGGGTTATACAGTGGAGGAGGTAGAGAGAGAGGAGGGGAGGGGAGGGGAGAGGTGGGGAGGGGGGAGGGTGGAGGATGGGAAAGGCAGCGGAGCACAACAGACACTAGTATGGCAATTTGTAAATCAATGGATGTGTAACTGATGTGATTCTGCAATCTGTGTATGGGGTGAAGGTGGGAGTTCATAACCCACTTGAATCAAAGTGTGGAATATGATATGTCAAGAAATTTGTAATGTTTTGAACAACCCACAATAAAAAATTAAAAAAAAAAACAAAAAAAACCAAACAAACAAATTCCTGTCTTGAATGCCCTGTCCTTGAGAAAGCCTAAGAGCATCTTTGCTATCAGCAAGACTGGTCTCAATTCACAGGCTGGTAGTTCCCTGGGCCAACACAGGGGAAAAGGACTCAACAAATGCTACTACTTAATTATTCTGTACCCTACGATGTGAACTAGCTTTGACATGGGAAACAATAATCACAGCAACATCAGAAAGAATCCTAAAACCTTAGCCCAAGGAACAAAACAAAATTAAGTTACTTACAAATAACTTAGAAAACCTATAATATCCACAGAGTCCTATTCCCTAGGCACCTCCACCAGTTGAGCTGTTATTACCCAGAGATTATAGAAACCCTAATATTTCCAGGTATCAAACTCCAGTTCAGAAGCTGGGATTGCAGCTCAGTGGTAGAGCGCTTACCTAGCATGTGTGAGGCACTGGGTTCGATCCTCAGCACCACATAAAAATAAAATTACTGTGTCCATCTACAACTAAAAAAAATATTTCAAGTATAAAAAATAGAAACAGAACTCTCACAGGGGCAAATGGGACCCCAAAATGTTTTAATCTCTGAGACAATGGTGGTAATGAGCACTTTCTGTGGCCTGACTAATGGTGAGTCAAGAAGGGGCTTTTTGTGAGGAGGAGGAAGCAGTTTGAGCAGGGACTTTTGTACAAAGGGCAATGGTATCTCAGGAGAAAAAGAAGTGGGGAACAGCCAAAGGAGACACAATCAGGTCCAGTGGCGGCCTAAGTCCTCTCTCCTCATTTACCCTAAAATGCCACTCAGAAAGAGAGTTGGAATAAGAGGACCCTGGGTCCAGGGAAGAGATGGCTGCTCTCTTTAGGTGGAAGTGAGTTCCAAGGCTACAGGGCAGCAGTGAGCATACATGGGGGTGAGTAGGCACAGGAAGGATAGGCTGAAGCCTGGATATCTATGCTCTCTGCCAGGAGACAATAGAGACAGCATTCAGAACACAGGCAGATTCAAGGACAACCCCAGGGCCAGACTCCATTAGCTTTACTGCCTCTAGTGTGCTTTTTTCATCAAAAAGGAAACTTTAGGCCAGTAGAAAAGGGACCAAATGGAAATGGGGAGATAAGTTCTCTATGAGTCAGGTGAGCCTCAATGTCTATTCTCACCAATCCTAAAAGCCCTGTCTATAGAGTGGTCAGAGGAATGGGTTGGCCCAGCAACTCCCCAGCCTTGCAGAAACTCTGCTGGAACCACCCAGCTCCACTTACCCTGGTGGGCACTTACTCTAGGCTTGCAGGAGATGCCTTAATTTAAACGCCAGCGACAGAGACAGCAGAGCAGGTGGCAAGCTAGCACCTGGGGGGAATGCCCAGCATCCCTATGTTCCCAGAAACCTATAGAGCCCTGGGTCACCTGGCCCCTTCTGGTGGTGGTAGAGAGCTAATGGTAGTATCATAGACTCTTCATATTCCACAGATTTCAGAATTAAAAAGAACATAGCTGTGCTGGATGGTTCCGAACACTGTGGGAGGCAAATTACCTCTAACAAACTCAGTCACACATTCTAATTTTTACAGCAATTCATAGGCTCCAGGTTATGATCTTGTCTAGATGTCAGCAAATTACAGCCCAAGGACCAAATGTGAGTCCCTCCCACCTGTTTTTATAAATAAAGCTTTACTGAAACATAGCCATGCCCATTTATACTATGGCTTGTGGTCACTTTCAATTGACAAGAGTAGAATTGCTTACTTATGATGAGACCATACTTATGATGGCCTGCAGAAGTGGTCCATTATAAGAAGTCCTGGTGCTAGATCTAATCTGTCCCTGATCTGGCTCAAATGAAGAAACTCGGGCCTGGATGGGTTAAGGATGTGAGTAGTAACAGGGCCAAGACTTAAACCCAAACCCCAGGAACTTTTCCCAGTGTTGTTTAGCACTAGCTGGACCTGAACAAGTGGGGGATGTAGCCCAGTAGTAGAGCACTTGCCTAGTATGCGTGGAGCCCTGGGTTCAACTCCCAGTACCAGGGGTGGGGTGGCTTGGATTTGAATGAATCCAGTGAATGAAATCCAATTTTATGGCATAAAATTGAATGAATCCAATTTTATGGCAGTTCCTTTGTTTTATTTCGGGAACACAAATACTCTATGAAATACTGAAGATAGCCTTTTCTATACAAAAACTATTTTTTTTAAAGGAGAGATAGAGAGAAAGAGAATTTTAATATTTATTTTTTAGTTTTCGGCAGACACAACATCCTTGTTTGTATGTGGTGCTGAGGATCGAACCCGGGCCGCACGCACGCCAGGCGAGCGCGCTACCGCTTGAGCCACATCCCCAGCCCTACAAAAACTATTTTTATCAGGTTTAATAACCATTAAATGAGCCTAATTTTGTGGGACTATTCTTTGGTAAATGCATTCCAAGGTAGCTAAACCTGTGTAGACAAAAAGGCCTCCTACCCCTAGCCTAAGAAAGTAACATTTCATACGGCTGGAGAGAGTCAGTTTTATAAGCCCCCAGGGAGGGATACATGATGCAAATTCATCTAGAAGTTAACTTCCTGGTGAACAGCCCTTTGTTCGGATCTTCATTCTCACCAAATACACACATGCCCATGGGCCTGCCCAATAGCACTATAGCAGGGGACCAGCGTAGGCATTACTGAATTACCTCCAAAGGAACTGCAAAAAAAAATGAACCTCTTCTTTTTCCCCAAAGTAGCTCAGACCCAGGGGACAGAATCTGTGCACAGGTTGCCTCAGGTTCTGTGGGTATCAAAATGTTTCTGGGCTAGCCACAAAAGATAAAGAAAACAGTTTTTTTTTCCAAGGCATTGCAGCCTCCAATCAGAAGAGGCAGCCAGCACAGACAAACCTCTCACATCATTTCAATTCAAATTCCCACTAAGAAATAGGTTGGGTACAATCCTCTCCTCTACCAGAAGGTGGCGACCTGGCTTGGCAGCCTCACCTTCCAGGGTAACCCAGAGCTGTGCCTCTATGACCAAGCCTGGTGGGCACCAGTACTCCAACCCTGTCAATCATTTCCCTGCCACTGGGCTCTAGAAAGAACTGGACATTTGTTAGGGCAATAATTCTACATTCATTACTCCTTTTCAAACTTTACATCTCCATCCATCAATGATGTGGGAAAATATATACATTTTCTTAAAGTTATTCCCTTTCCTACTCCTCTGTTGTTAGAACTGTACTGGACCACTGAAAGTTAGTAAGAGCGCTCAAAAACACCAAGAGCTTTGAGAAGTTAAACCTATTTGGCAAAAATGTGTGGCTCAGTAGCTGGGCACAGTGGCGCACAGCGTAATCCTGCAAATTGGGAGGCCAAGTCAGGAGGATCACAAGTTTCAGGCCAGCAGTAGCAACTTAGTAAGGCTCTAAGCAATTTAGTGAGACCTTATCTCAAAATTAAAAAATTAAAAAGGGTTGAGGATATAAAATTAAAAAGGGTATGTTAGTGATAATACTCCCCTGGATTCAATCCCCAGTACTAAAGGGCGGGGGGGACTGTATGGACCAGGATCTGTACTCTGCAAACCTAACAGTTAAGAGCCTGGGCTCAGGAGTAACATAGTGAAGCTCAAATCCCACCCACCTCACTTACTTGTAGGGTATTAGCTAGGTTGCTTATACTGTTTCAGTGCTGTGAGTTTCATCATCTACAACTCTAGTTAGTTACAATAATTCTAATACAGTGGTACAGTGGTTATCACAGTGCCTAGCTTTGTGTTCCTTGAATCTCCTTCCCCAGGCCACTCCATCACCAACACCCCAATCCAACATGCATTTTCTATGATGCACCAATGTGCTACCCCCAGCACTGCCAGACAGACACTTAACAGCTGGGTACCCTCATACCTGAAGGGCTTGCTGTCAGGGTCAGTGTCCTTAAATCCCATCTCCTCAAGCTTACAGCGCCGGTACAACTCATAATGGCGGGTGTGTGTCTGTTCTCTCAAGTCTTCCATGTTCACGCGAATCAGCATCTCCCGCAGCTTCACAAAATCACAATGGTTTTCATTCTCAACTGCAAATGATGGGGAAAAGTAGGACAAAGGGCTATTAGCAACATCACAGAAAATCTTAGATGCTTCCAAGATGTTGCTACCATCACTCTGAACTCTCTGAAATCTCAAAACCAACTAAAGGTGTTTTACAGCCATCAGAAAGGATTTCAGATAGCACTGAACATAACACTAATGGTGGTAAGGCTAACTGCCGGGTGCCTATTCTGTGCAAAAACTCAGAGAGGAGCTTTACAGATTTTGACTTTATCCTTCACAATCATTCGACCAGTAAACTTTGTGATTTTTGCTTTGCAGATAAAGAAGCCTGGCTTTGATAAGCAAGCTGACCTCCCAAAAAGAGGTAGCAGAGTCTAGACTCAAACACCATATCATCTGGTCCAAAGCCAGGCCTGTTTCTATCATTCCATGCCATCAGGAACTGTACCAGGCAGTTTTTAAATACCATCATTATTCCCAATTACCAAATATTTATTGAAATAACACTTAACTGGAAGACAACTTTCCCAGAGATGACTGAGCAAGTCATCCTCTTGTTTGCATGAAATTGTTTTTTTGCACTTTCTGATACTTTGCTGATGCAACTGGTTCAGGCTCCTGGGGAAATTTTTATTTTCTAGGAATTTATGCTGAATTTCCTACACAACCAGTGAAAGCTAGTAAGAGGAGTCACCTCATTGGCACTAGGGCTTGGCAGCTGCTTTTCTCTACTGTCTGTCTACCTGCATGGGTCTTTCTCACCTTGGATAACAGCCAAGAGTGACACCACACCACTTACTCCCACCTGCCCCTGTTTTACACTTCCCAACACAGGGAGGGAAGAATTGTGGTCATTCACCCCAGGCACTGACTTTAGAGTCCCCTTCCCGTGATGAACATACCCTGTACCACGCCCCAGGGGTACTGCCTGGCCTTTGCCATCTTGTTGCCAATCTTCACTTCTTCGGTGCTGCCAACCACTGCGAATGGGAGGTGGACCTGCCAAGCAACAGAAGAGGAGTGTGGTTATCTTCCACAGCTCCAAAAGAGTCTGTTTCTCCACCCACCTCTGCAAGCTCCTCCTTCTGCAGAATCTCTATTTCATGGCAAGACACAAGGTGGGCCAGGAGAACTCATAGAAGATTCTCTAGCTCATGTATCCTACACCCTACAGCCAAATACTTGTTAGGAGCTAGATTGCAGGGAAAACTGCAGAAGCAGTAGCAACCATACAGTAAGCTCTAGATGTGCCCCATCCAACACAGCCGTCACTCACGACCTGTGACCACAGAGCAGGTGAAGTATAGTTTGTGGAACCCAAAACCTCACTTTTAAATTTTATTTGCTTTTAATTAATATACATGTAAATTCCAAATGAAAGCAGTATAGAATGTTTTCCTGTTCAGCATAACTTTGCTGTTTGTAAGGACAGCATTTTACTACGCTTCAAAAAAAAAAAAAAAAAAGACCAGTTTTGGCAAGGTAAGTACAAATTTAAAGGGAAAGGGCTTTTTGTTTGTTTGTTTGTTCATTTGTCTGGGAGCGGGGATTGATACTTATTTCACATAGAAAAACTTTAAAGTATGTTAGGAATAATCTAAGCATGTGAATCTGCTTTTTAACTATAAATTTTCTTTAACACTAGTTATTGAACCCAGAAGTGCTTTATCTCCGAGCTACATCCTAGTACTTTTTTTTTTTTTTTTTTTTGAGACAGGGTCTCACTAAGTTTCCCCAGGCTAGCATTGAACATGTGATCCTCCTGCCTCAGCCTCCTGAATTGCTTGGATTACAAGCATGTACCACCAGGCCCATCTTAACTATAAATTTAAAGAATTATAAATACAGATTAAGCATTGTTAATAAAAATTGGAAATACAAATTGAGATGTACTAACATTATAAAACTTCAAAGACTTGCTACTAAAGGATAGTGTTAATAACTTTTTAATTCATTACATAAAGAAACAATAATATTCTGGATATACTGGATTAGGATTAAGTAAATTCTTAAAATTAATTTCATGCTTCATTTTTTAATGTAACTACTAGAAAAATTTAAATTACTTGTGTAGCTCACATTGTATTTCTACTGAACAGAACTATTTAGATAGCTGATCACTGCACAAATTTCAAGTCAGAAATACACGTTAGCCCGAAATACTGAATCAAGCCTTCCACTCAGATTTATCTCAAGCATAGGTGGTGTCCAAGACAACCGACTCTTTTCTAATGGCTTATTTGGTAGTTATGGCTACACTCTGGGGGTAGGGAGAAAACTAATTCTGTTTTTCTATTAGCATACAAGAATAAAGAGATTTGATAGAGTTGCTCTGAGAATTACAACCCAATGTCCTTCGCCTACAAATCCATTGAGAAGGAGAATGTTTTCATGTCAAATCCTTTCCCACGGAGAGCTTGGCAGAATCCTCACCTCAAGTTTCTCAAGTGGGACTTTGTGGAAGATGCAAGATTATTTAAATTTCCTAGTTAATCTCACCACTCTGAAGGGAGGAAGGAAAGTACATTTTCCTTCTCAAACTCAAAGTCTGAAACTGAACCATGGTCCCTGAAGCTGAGGAACTCAAAGGCCTTTCCACCTAACATTCTGGTCCGATGACCAAGGAACATTTCCATTCAATGCATCAAAAGCAACCACCAGGGGAATCTGTGTTACTCAGCTACATACACATCATATGGAATCATATCTGAAAGAACTGTTTGCATGAAAAGCCTAAAAGAAAAATTTTTGATAAACAGCAAGATTAGTTTGGAATGTCAAAGATCTTCAGTCTTACTAATTAGACAAAGAGAGAAAGAGAGTAAAAGTTTGTGGATATTTTCTTTCTAGGAAGTTCAATGCAAACTTAATTTTATAACCATGAAACATTATTTAAAAGGATTGAGGTGGGGGGATGGAGAGGTGGCTCAGTATTAAGAGTACTTGTCTAACTTCTCAGAAAAAGATATACAATTGATCAACAAATGTATGAAAAAAATGTTCATCATCTCTAGCAATTAGAGAAATGCAAATCAAAACTACTCTAAAGTTTCATCCCACTCCAGTCAAAATGGCAGATATCAAGAATACAAGTAATAATAAGTGTTGGCAAGGATGTGGGGGAAAAGGCACACACATATATTGCTGGTGGGACTGCAAATTGGTGCAACCGATCTGGAAAGCAGTATGGAGATTCCTTAGAAAACTTGGAATGGAATCAGTATTTGACCCCGCTATCCTACTCCTTGGTCTATACTCAAAGGACTTAAAAACAGCATACTAAAATGATGCAGCCACATCAATGTTTACAGTATAATTCACAATAGCTAAACTGTGAAACCAACCTAGATGCCCTTCAAAAGATGAATGGATAAACAAAATGCGATATGTCGCACGCACACACACGCACGCGCGCGCACACACACACACACACAATGGAATATTACTCAGCATTAAAAGAGAATAAAATTATGTCGTTTGCAGGTAAATGGATGGAGTTGGAGAATATCATGCTAAGCGAAGTAAGCCAATCCCCCAAACCAAAGGCCAAATGTTTTCTCTGATAAGTGAATGCTGATCCATAATGGGAAGAGGGGCATGGGATGAATGGGCATAGGGGACAGAGGGGAGGGGAGGGGGAACAGGGGGTAGGAAAGATAGAGGAATGAGACGAACTTCATTACTTTAGGTGTATGTATGATTGCACTAATGGTGTGATCTACTTCATCTACAACCACAGAAATGAAAATTGTGCTCCATTTGTGTACAGTGAATCGAAGTGCATTCTGCTGCCATGTATAACTGATTAGAGCAAATTAAAAAAAAAGGCTTGGTGGCATGAATGAGAACCTGGGTTCAATTACCATTAAGCCTTTAAAAAAAATGATGGAGAGGGATATAAAGAGAAAGTAGATGATTTCATTCATGCTTACTGAACCCTACACTAAGATCCCATATTGCAGTTCTATAGAAGAATGCACACATGGCATCTCCGCCTGAGCTGAGATTTGTCTTGGAAATCATTAACCATTAGAGTAGGAAGGAAATCTGAGATCATCCTGTTTAACTCTCCCACTTGATAGGTGGGGAAACTAAGGCCCAGGCTGGTTAAAAGACTTGCAGTGGCAGATCTGGACTCCAAATGGAGTCTCAGGTCCCCAATGCAGGTTTAGCCATTCTGCAATGCTGCTACTAAGAAAATCTTCCAGGAGAGTCGTTTGTACCCATTTTATTTGAGGTCTTACACTCATCGTTGCATTAATCTCTGCCACCGTTTCTTCATCTGTAGGGAACTGGTATATCTGGACGCCATTGCTGACTAGTTCACTCATGATCTTACTTTTAAATTTGTGCAATTCATTCTTGGCAATCGTGTCTGCTTTTGCAATTATTGGAATAATGTTCACCTGTAAAACAAACATGTCCATTTTTACACAACTTCAACATAAGAGAAATAGACATGGGTGTAAAACATAGTAAATAAATAAATATTGTAAAACCTCACTGTAAAAAAACATATATGACACTGAAAATTGGACTATTTACCTAGATGCAAAATTAAGAAGACCTGGGATAATCTTTTAGTTCCATCTCAGAACACTTAGACTTCCTTCCATCCTACACAGAAAATCATACTTGTAATTTCCTCTCCTGTGCTACCTCATCCTTTTTTTTTTTTTTTTTTTTTTACAGAGGGAGAGGAAATGTTATTACTCCATGACAAACAGTAGTAACAAAGGAGCTATTCTTTGAATAACCAACCACTCCTTCTGGACCCCTCCCACTTTCTTTAGGTGCTTGACTTCTGCATGCTCTGACAGTGTGATCACAAAGTTTTTGTTAGAGCAGCAGAATGTCAGTCCCATGCAGGCTAAAATCCTTTCTTTGTTCTGATACCCTGAAAATTGCTAGGAGAGGGGAACCTAAGTATTAAAGCAAAAATATTTTTACTTTAAAATTTTTCAAACTCACACTAGCTAATTCTTTTGAAAATCAGCTTCTATCAAATTTCTCCTTCATGCCAGAAGTAGACCCAGTGCCAAAAACATGGCTCAATTTCTGAGTCTCCTCAGTTATGAATAACAGGGGAGAACTTGGAGTTTGACATTAATGGCAGACAGCCCAGAATGAGGGCCAAGGACACCCTAGAGTATAAGCTTTAAACCCAAGGTGGGCCATTTTTTTCCTACCATCCCCCAGCCCTGTCCACAGGACACATTTTTTAAATCCACATTTTGAGATTAACTTTCTTCTTCCTATCTGGAGATTTCAATAAGATGCTACTGACATCTGATATTTAGAGCTCTGCTCTTCACCCAGCCCAAGAACACTGAACAAGAGGTTTTGGGTCACATCTGCACTTTTGCTTCTCCTTTTATCTCCCACAGGCCAAATCAAAAGACGTGCTGGTAGAAAGTCCTTTTCTTCAACCTATTCTACAACACACTCCTAAGTCCCTAGCACTTGGGATTCCTCCAAGCGAAGTATAGACTGGAAATCATCACTGATGGCAGGGGATGTGTCTGGATCACAACCAGGGAACCAAAACCTTTCCTCCTGTGTTCACTGGCTATCTTGCATCCACACTTAGTACTCAATTAATACCAAACTGGACAAGATGACAGAGGTTCATGTTTCCTTGACCAAACTGATCAAGTAGATAGAGACACCAAGCAATTTAGTTTTAAAATCTCTTTTCTCTCATTGGCAGGAGTTTGAGAATCTTTTCTGAAATGATCATGTTTTCTTAATTCTTCCCTTCACTTGTATAAACAAAACGTGGATAATATCATTTTCAGATGCTACACAGCTCTCCAACTCTATAACAATTCAATCCTTGAAAGTTTAACTTGCACTGAGATTGAGGTGTTTGGTGGCCTTGTGCTGGATGACCTTGTTGTGTGCCACGCCCCCTTTTCATATGAAAATCACCTCTGCTAAACACAATTTCATTTTGTGGGCTATTAACCTGGCTTGGTCTACATGCATGGCCCTCAGGTAAGAGGCCACCTCACTCTGCTTCCTTCAGACTGTGGAAAGTCGGGGCTCCTGATGATGGGGGACCTGCCTCACTTTCAAAGATCTGACAGCAGAGAGAGCAGCCCGGCCTGTGCAGAGTCCCATCCGGGTAACGGCACAGCTCCCAGGCACTCAGCTCAAGTGCAGCACACCCAATGGGCTGAAGAAGGATTTCTATTTATTCTCCCAAAAGTGCTCTCACTGCAGTAATCCCTTCAGGCCATTGGAATATTTTTCTGTAAAACACTGTGTCTGTGTGTGCTGGAAGCCCAAGGAGCCTGGCTCGGCTTCAACCTCTCCAGCCAAGCCCTTTGTGGGCTGTTCCAGAAGAAGCCTTGGGGACAGGCTGATCTCTAGTTTGGCCTCTAACTATTTTATCCCCCTAGAGAATAAGCATCTTTTAAAGAGTGTTGTTTGGACCAAAAAAATTAAAAAAAATCACACCAATCAAGCCCTCTAAGGTCCTTATCACCTGATAAGAATTTCCATCTGAGGGCTGGGGTGGTGGCTCAGTGGTAAAGCGCTTGCCTAGCATATGTGAGGCACTGGGTTTGGTTCTCAGCACCACATATAAATACATAAAATAAAGGTCCACTGACAACTAAAAAATATTTAAAAAAAAAAAAAAGAATTTCCATCAAATGCAAGAAAGTATTTTTCTAGGAGAAAATACCATGACTTAGATTTACGGTTGTTCTGGTTGCCATTTGCTTTGTCTTTGTTTCAAAATGTGTTCTCTTCTATATATTTCAAAATAGAAAATCAAATTAATTGTAAAGCAGGCCACCAAATTTTATCAAATTTAACAGTCACCTCCTTTGAGTGCTCTGAAAAAGAGGATACAAAGGCATCAAGCTCAGGGGACAAGCTGAATGGAGACTCCACTTCTTCTGAACACCCGTGTTCAAAAATCTAAAAAGCCAGGCTGGCCTCAATTAGGCAAAAAGTTGACATTTATTTCATTATAAACTTTGAATTAAAGTTTTTAAAAAATCATTTAACCTTAAAGAAATGGCCATTTTAGAAGTTAATTTAACCTTTAAAAATCTTTTAAAAAGAGATTTAGAGAAAGGTTTTAAAGAAAATAAATGAATCTTGAATTTATACTTCAATCTCCTACTTAAGAACTAAATGTATTTTCTAACAAGCTACGTTTTGTTGTTGTTGTTGTTGTTTTGTGGGCTATTCACCTGGAGATTAAACCCAGGGCCTCGTGCATGTGAGGCATGCACTCTACCAATGAGCTCTATCCCTAACCCACAAGCCACGTTTTGTGAGTTTTGTTTTGTTTTGGCCTAACATCCAGAAGAGGATTTTAAGCATTTCTTACACTGCCAAATCCTGTGGTTCTGTAATCCAGAAAACAAAACAAAACAAAAAAAAAAAAACAAATTAAAATGAAAGCAGAGAATAAATTGAGGCCTTAGAATAAAGGAGAATTGATATAATCAGAGTGACAGACAGTACCTTACTGTCCAGCTTCTTCATGGTGACCAGGTCCAGAGACTTCAGTGAATGTCCCGTGGGGGCGATAAAGTAGAGGCAGGCATGAATCCTCGTGTCGTGGTAGTTGAAGAGAGAACGTTTAATCTTCAGTTCCTCTTGCAAGTAGGCCTCAAATTGGGCGTCAATGTATTCCACTATTGGCTTATAGCTACAAAACAGAATATTTTGAAAATACTTTTAAACCAGCATGTTTCCAGTCTCAAACCTCTTTCACAGAAACATCATCAGTGGCTTTCTCCTAAACGCTGGAGCCCAAGTTCCTTGCCTTGGTATCCAAGGTCTTCTGTCACCTGGCCCCTGAAGAACTCTCCAGGATCATCCATCTCTCCCACTCCCTCCCTGGCAATACACAGCGATGACCTGTAGTGGCCCTTGTACAGAACATCTTCATTTGCCTCTGGCCCTCTGTCATGCTGGCCCCTGTAGCTCTAACAGTCTTCTTTCTAATATTCTCTGGGCTAACACTCATTCTTTAAAACAGAGACTATACGTACATGGAACATGCTACCTGTTCCCCGCCCTTTGCCCCCGCAGGTGTGGAAGATATTAATAAGAGGTTTTAGCAATCTTTCCTGCTGGGCCAAAACTAGCCTTGAAATCCATCTTAATAAAGTGTTTCTGAAAGACTTTAACAAGTGATTGGCCCTGGTGCACAAAATGAAACTGGTTTATGACTTTGGGATATGGCATCACCACCCATGGGGGCCTTTCCTCCAGCCATTCCTCCAGAGACAAGGTGAGGTACATGTCTGTGCTCCCTTAAACCCTATATACACTCCCCAACTCCATCTAGAAATTGAAGAGCTTATATTACCAAGATCTTCAAGATTCTAACTCAAAAATTTCATGATTTATTGGTAAACTTTGTAACTCTCTCTTCTCTTCACCAAAACATAGTTCAACTCTGTTTTGGATAATTGTGTATGACTCTATTAACTGACCATAAACACACTGTTGAAAGCATTTGGGGTCTACATCATCAATAAATCCCATCTTCTCCAGGGAGTAAGTCTTATGTTAGGTCACCGTGGGAAACCCATGAACTCTTTCAGTCTCCAAAGGGGAGCAGCTCAAAAGTTCATTTTAGCAGCAGAGACAGATCTATTAGGAAGACAAAGGGTTAATCCACCCCAAACTTAATGCCTTTCTGGGGAATGATTTAAATTGTAAGAAAAATTAAAACCTTTCAACACACAGATCCCAGATCCATAAATTAAACTGAAACCTTGAATAGGCACTACAAATATTTCATAATAAACATGACAGCAGACATTCTAAAGGAAAAAAACAAAATCCCCTGAGGTAAATAATAATGCATTTGTGATCAAAACTAAAAGCAGTCAATAAATACCTTGTGGTGGTATTTTTCTTTGGTGATTTTATCATAATATACTGGTTCAATTTAAGCACTTAGTCTTTAGATATTTAAAAAAAAAAAAAAAGGTAAAATATGTAACTGTAACTTAAAAGCCCTGAGTCATAAAAAGTGAAATTCTAATAGAAAGGAGAAGTGAGTAATTAGATTATTCTCTATTTTTCAATTTTAAAATGCAGGCTCGTACTACATAGCAATAATCATAATTATTATTATGGGATAGTTATATAGGATGGTGGCTAGAAAGATGGATTCAAGTCAGACTGCCTAAGCCCAAAATCTGTCTTCATAGTCCCTAGCTGTGTGGCCATTAGCAGGCCACTAAACCTCCCCTTGCCTCACTCTCCTCAGAGATAAATCAGGGACAAAACAGTACCTTTACCAGAGAGCTGTTCTGAAAAATAAATGAGCTAATATAAAGGACCAGCACATAAAAGTACAATAAATTAAAATGTCCTGAATTAAAACAAAAATCCAAACCAGGAAATTTGTACCCACCCAGTTCCCTGGTGACTGTTCTGCTACTGAGCTCATACCTCTGGGGAAGTGGACCAGGCCATTCAAAGGAGGTCCACCCATGTCTGCAGGCTGGTGCTTTCCTTTCCTGACACTGGAGCAGTGTTTAGAGATAGATGAGGGTTCTCCCTAGCACCCTCTTAGCCCAAAGGGAGGAAAAAAACAGCTCACCACATTTATTCTTCTTGCCTCCCTAGTTTCTGAATTTAAACTGTCCTGTCTCCTCTCAATACTAGTCTAAGTGCATTTCCGCTTTCTTACTTCTGGTTTTGATTTTGATCCTCAAAAGACCCTGGAAGGCATAATAACACTGAATTTGTTTTATTTTTGTCTTTTTTTGTGTGTGTGTGTGTGGCGGGGGTGCTTTAAAAAAACAGTCCCCTTTATTTGGTGTATCTTTGTTTATTGTTATAAAATGATTTTATCTTCCTCAGTGAAGGATGCTTTCTGAGCTGGATTCAAGACATCTTTTGATCTCTCACATCTTAGGTTTCCTTTGCCTGCCCCCATTAACCACTCCTGCTAGTCTTTCAATCTCCCTCCCTCCACTCTCTGTGATCTTCCTGAAAAATCATGCTTTTTCCTGTGTCTCACTTTGCATTTATCTAATGACAAGTCACAAATGTCTACCTCAGTGAGCTTCAGACCACTTACCCAATTGTTTATCAGATACTTCCAACAGCTCTTCAAACCAAACTGTTCAATCCTGCACCCCCAACCCTCAAGGTGGTGAATGACAAGAGCATCCACACCACTGTCCCATCAGAGACCTGGGATTCAACCTGGAGACCTCTCTTATCTCACGTGCCCAGTCAAGCATGAAATCCCTTCTGTTTTACCTTCTGTATCATAAACAAATAACCACTATTTACCAAAACCACTATTCCCTACGTCAACTATTTAATTATGTTTACAAAAGTTTCCTCTTGACAAGAAATAAGCCTGCCAAGTGATTTGTACTCCTTGTCATAATCCAAATTTTCTGCCCCCTCCTTCAACCACTTCCTTTCTTTTTTCTATCTGCATTCATGGTCAGAAAGACCAAGAAGCTTAATCCCAGCTGGCCTTTTGCTATCTTCCATTCACACAGAAAGGACACCTACTTATATTCTGTGTGGCCAATTCAAACTTCTTGATTCTAACCATACCCAGCTGAGGAGATGGAGGAGATCAAATCAAACTAGTGTGCATTTTTACAAATCCCCTTTTACAACATGAGTGTAGTCCTTGTAACCCACTACTCATTTTCTTCATATGCTTCCAGACATTAAGGGGAAAAAAAAGCAATAAAATCACAAAGGGTGACCCTAAAAGTAATGGAAGAAGTTATTTAATATACTTTTCTATCCATCCAACCTACCCACTGATCATTTTAACACAATGGCAAACTTACCAAGTTTCTCTCTTATCTTGCTGTTAGCCCAAAACAACTTTTCTTACCCCTACACTACCTCTACCAGAAAACATTAAAAACTTAGAATTTAACAGCTAAACAGCCCATATCACTTCTATTTTATAATTCTAATAAACATCTGGTGAACGTGAGGGTTCTCTCTCAATGGGTTTTGGTTATTCAGGCTTTTCAGGACTATTATCACAATTTGTGATACCCTATGGAAAGCCACCTCCCATCTCTCAAATGTGGGACAAACTAACTATTCTATTTCCAGTTGGACAGCAAAATATAGTTTCCTTTCGTCTCCAGGCCCCTTCCTTTTTCACCGAAGAATACAGACAGTCAAAGCAAGGAAACCCTTAAACAGCAAGGAGTTAAACATAACAGGAAACCTTACCAGATCTCTCTTCCTGCCTCCTTCTAGCTAGCCTGGTCAAAGGAGATAATGATGCAGGAATGCTACATGTCCCAAGCCTATGTAAACAAACTGGGACATTCTTAAAGTCTTGCATCTATGGCAAAAAAAAAAGCTTGCCTAGTCCCCGAAGTAGGTAAAAATAATCATGGGTTACAGAAGGCACACATCCTTTCCCATGTGGTTACACACAGATGCAAAAATGCATATTCTACTTCCAATTTTTTGATGAAAGCAGAGCTTGTCCGAATAAGTATTTTTAAACACGTGATTTGGGTTTACAGTCAACAGTGTCAACAATGCCTTCTGAGGCACAAGGGAATGGGGAATTTCAAATGCCATTCAAAGAAGTTATGCAACAGCTGTCAAGAAATTTCAGAGGGAAAAAAATATTGGTATCTAGGTTAGGTTAATATCACACTTCCTCTCTTCTAAATCTCCTTGGTAACTATTATTTGACCCAAATGAGTCAGATCAGTTCTTAAAGAGGACTCCAGCTACAAATATGAGGCTCCACGTTGCACTAACTTCAACTATTTGCTGTTCAGGACTGATGAGTGATAACCACCAGCCAGAGGGGAGGTCCCCATTCGGGGGAGGCACTGAGGCAATGACTCTTAAGCTGAAAAAGCACATGGAACCTTGGTAGCAAGATGCTAGGTGGAGGATGATTCTTACTCAAGTGGGAATCCTGAAAAAGTCCAATATAAAAGCATGATGTTCCCTAACCCCAGGGAGAATCTGTCCAGCCTGAGAGCTTAGGAACAGGCCTGGCTCTGGTGTGCTCTGTGACCATACAATGACCAGAAGCCCCAGGCACTCTCCCCAGCTCCCACAAAGCACTGTGTTCATGTTCTCTCTCTCTCTCGCTCTTCCTTGATGCCAGGGTTTTCTCTTCATTTATTTCACTTGGCATTAAAACCAGCCTTTAGGCAGGAACCTCTTCTTCATGACTTGGCATTGAGGTCTCAAGTGAGGAGCAACTACTCAGCTGCAGAGTCAGAGCTTAGCTGTCCCTGCCCCAACACAATGTACAGACAGTCCATTCTGACCAGATGCAAAATAAAATCTTCCTATCTAACAATAGACACAGGACAAGGTCTATTGAAGAGCATTTCAAGTGCTCTATAGATAAAGAGCTCGGTGCTCCAAGAATGAATTAAATGTTTCTCTCTGATTATTGAGATGCTCTGCTCATACTTAAATCAGGAATTGTTGAAATATATCTAGACAATACACATTTTTACATAAAAATAATTCAAGTTCCTCTTTACAAAACACATGTATATTGTGTTTTGAGGAAACACAATTTTGAGGAAAAGTTAAAAAGACGAAAACTCTGATATTAATGAAGCCTTAAACAAATATACAACTTATTTCTACACACTGGTGTCTTTAAGGGGTGAGACATTCTCATAATGTCACTGCCCAAAAATGTCTCTGGAAGTCTCATTCTAGAAATATCTTTGGGTCGGATAGTTTCTTAAACCTCTTTTGAGAATGAATTTACATTTTCAAACAGTCAAGCTATCTGAAGTTGAGACTAAAGAACAGGACTGGTGTTGGGAAGGACAGTGAGCTAGATCTTGGAAGTAGAATTAACATGGGGGTTGTGTATTGGGAGGTTAAGAATTAACAGCTTCCCTTAAGCAAGCGCAAACAGCAGCTCACAGTGAAAATCCAAACTTATATGTCCTTGTAAATGGGCTATATGTATTTTATAAAATAAAAACTCACTATATATTATTTTCTAATTATATCTTCAAGCTTATGTGAAGAACCATACCAGTTTTAATGACTGATACACAAGGCTTGACTGGCAGCTAGGAGCCTCCATCTATACACAAACTACTGAACCAAAATGCTTTAAAAATAATTTTCTTTCTTTCTTTCTTTTTTATTTATTTTTTAAAAAATATCTCTAGTTGTAGATGGACACAATACCTTTATTTTATTTATTTATATGTGGTGCTGAGGATCAAACCCAATGACTCACACATGCTAGGCAAGCACTCTACAACTGAGCTACAGCTTCAGCCCCTAAAATATTTTTATTTCTTAACCAGGCATAATAGCATATGCTTATAATCTCAGAGACTTGGGAGGATGAGGCAGAAGGTTCACAAGTTCAAAGTTAGCCTTAGCAACTTAGCATGGCCCTAAGAAACTTAGGGAGACCCTGTTCCCGAGTAAAAAAGGGTTGGGGATGTGATTCAGTGATTAAGCGCCCCTGGGTTTAATCCCTGGTACCAAAAATAAAAAGTATGTATGTGTTAAATATATATTTAATTTCTTAAGTAAGTTCAACAAGTGTTTTTTCCATAGATGCACAGAATTCTGTAGCATCAATTACTCAATTATCTCTGCTTAGGAGGGGAAATTTTATTCAATTGACTTGAATCCTCATTAGTCTTCACCAAAACCCCAACTGCTCTTCAGACTCCATTTGGCAATTCTGACTGCAAAGTTCTGCCTAACAGAGCAGCTTCCCTCTCCAGAAGAGCCTCAAGCCATACCACTACCACCAACATTAAGATCCTATTACCAATCAGAAATTCACTAATACATTTCAACAGATCATGCATAAAAGTGCTTTCTTCACTATGGAGTTTTAGGAATAATATCACTTTTAGGGGTAATATCACAAAAGCCATCAAAGTACAGGATTATAACCTTAATATAACAATATTCCTCATCAAGGCCTAACCTTTCACAATGTCCTTCCTCAGGCCTCTACGTGAGAAGAGGACTGTATGAAGTGTCAGAGTGGCAAACACCTAGGGTAATCCCTCAAAGTTAGATACATTCCTAAGGTCCATGGCTTGTCACCAGTCAAAAACCCAACCACGATACAGTCTCCTAAATCCTGGGCTGTGGTTTCTTATGCAAAATCACAATGACTCTCAGTTTTCATCCAAATCAGTAAAAATTTGCAGATTAAGTCAAATATCTCATTCTGCCTCAGGGACTAGAAGAGCATAGCAGATATTACTTTTTAATATTTTCTTATTTTGCATATCTAAAAAAACCCTGAAAACCTCATTTTCTAGACTCTCTTGCAGCTAGTATTCTGGATGTGGCTTCGTCTCTGCCAAATGGATGCAGCCACCCAAGATCTGGAAGCAGGAAGTGAGCAACACAGCTGGAGGCTTCACTAGGGGAGAAGCAGGGGTGAAGGCCCTTGGTTATCTGGGACAGATGTAGTAGAGGTTCTAGGACCCTCTCCCCAGTGCCATGGGTCCCAGCTAGTTTAAGGTGATTGATGGCAGGCTTTCTGCAAACACTCTCTATGCAGTGCCTGGGATATAGATTGCTTTTCCACATGAGGAAATCCCAAAACCTGGCAAACACTTTTCTGGAAAAATGGCATAAGCCACCTTACTCCTCTAACAGGCTTCTCTTTTTGCTTAGACCACCTAGAATCAATTTATTGTCTGGTTCTGACCTCAAGGAAGAATATTCTCAGAAAATTTCTGTGAGGACAAGAATGTCCTATCTTTCAGGTGACAGAGGATGAAGCCCCACAACTAGAGAACACCAAAAATAATTCACCTTTGAAGTTACCTGGAATGGAATCTACTATCTTCCACATCAAGTTACATCCCCACAAAATCCCAAGACACACCTGTCATCTTTATTTATCTGGTCTCCAAATCCCACGGTGTCAACAATGGTTAGCTTCAGCCGTACATTGCTTTCCTGAAGCTCATAACTTCTGGCTTTTAACCGGACACCTGGTTCGTTGTGTGTAGCTGGGTCACTTTCAAATTTGGTGTTGAATAAAGTATCCATTAATGTGGATTTGCCAATGCCTGTCTCACCTATAACCACAAAGAAAAACATCAGAGAATACGTCTATCAGTTCGATTCATCAGTATTTTTTTCTTAATCATGCTTGCAAAGTTAAAAAAAAAAAAAAAAAGAGTCATGTTACCAGAAATCCTGCTGTGAAGAGAGTTTTTTCTACGAATGTCCTGAGGAATGTCCTACCTAGAAATGCCTCACTGAATTTCAGAAACTACTCAGCAGAAAAGAGCTTGGACTTAAAGACGTTCTTCTCAGGGTAGAAAAATAGTACCTGTGAGTTTGACTGTGGTCAGTTTGCGTATTATAAGGATACAAACTATATCTTTATCTTTCCTAAATGTTGGTATGCAAAACTGAATTACTTAAGGGGGAAAAACTATATTGTTGAATTTGTTACTAAACAATAAGAACAACAAAAATTCCATGTTGTAGAAAAGAATTATTTCAAAAGACTCTCCTGACCATAATAATTACTTTATGCCAAAAATCTATGTCAAGAGGTTCCTACTATTCCCCCATGAAATAGGTACCATGGTTTCCTTTCCTCCAGATGAAGCACTAAGGTTTAGATAAGTATCTTGCCTGAAGTTATATTGCAAAGCGTCAGAGCTAGGGTTCTAACCCAGGTATGTGCAGTTCAGACATTGACCTTCAATCAGCACAACATCCTGACTTTATTATTACACAGAAAACTGCATGCCTGGTATTTTCCAAATATATTTCTTTACTTTTCTTTCTCTGTTCAGCTGGAGATAAGATGGCCAACATTTGTTAGTCTTCCCAGTTTCCTGGTCACCTTTAATGATAATGAAATTAAATTGTGCTAAGTAATAACATTATTAATTTACACTGACAATTCCAATTCATAAATGTTTATCAAGACCCTCATATGTACAAAGCAGGGTGGCAGACACCTGGAACAACTCTACCAATCCAATGGTGGGACCCAAATGTGGAGCCATGAAGTTCAGCTCAACTTTCAAAATGGGACCAAGCAATGGTCTCTCTAATTCTGCTGTTAAATCAAAGATAAGGTGGTTGAGCATATGATGGTGGAGACAGAGAGGTAGAAACTAAGAAACACTAACCAGAAAGATGCCTTTTTTGGTGTTTCTTTTTTTATTTTTATTTTTTCTTATCTAAAAAATGTCTCCAATTTCTAGGTCAATTTAAACATGCCAATGGTTAGGAGCCCTTTCAATAAATCTTTATGCTGATGACATTCCTAGAAACACTCCCTCATCTGAAGGATTGCAGTAATGACTTTGATGCTGACATCCCATGAGAAAAAGAAAAGCTTCAGAATCTGTAGCCTTAGGGCTACTCCCACAATAAGGACAAAACCTGTTAATTAGAAGTTCTGTATTATACTCGCTGCTTTCCAACATAATCCAAAATTAAAGTAAGATGGAGTCTTCCTAGATGCATACTTTCTTTGATTAGAGGCCCTCTGTGGCTTGCCACTTACTATGATTGGTTTATATGATAAGAGTTGTTCAAGTGCATTTCCCTTACTCTTTAACCTTTCACACTATGTCCCTGATCTAAGATCACAGAATTTCCTCCTTAATCAGCTTCTGTTTAGCCAATATTTTTCCAGTGCCAAGATTTGTGCTAAGTTCTGGGAATACAACAATGAACAGGGCTAATGTTTTAGAATCTGGTCTAGAACACAGCTGAATAACAGACTCTAATTTATTGTTATGGGAATAACATTCCACATGTCTACCATGACCGCATTCTTCTCATGAGCAAGACCAGACTTTATACCCTGTGACCTTGTGAGTTAACCAGATAAGTGGGCCAGGGCTCGGCTCCTGACCTGAAGACAATCACAAAAGCCTGACTGTTATGCATACTGCACCCATCCAATCGAAACGTCTCTATTTGAAGTGGAGACATACAATCTGCACACAGTGTAGAGGCATGAGAAAGGAAAGAGGTAGAGAGAGAAGGAAATAAGCAAAAGCCATGAGACAGCAAAGGCTTTTATTAAACAGAAGCCTCTCTGTAGATACACCACTAGCCGGGAATCTAGGAGGAGAACAGATCAATACAGTAGAATAAAGTATCAGAAACCCATTTATTAAATTAATACTTGAATACTTGCTATGTAACAAGCATAGGTGTGGGGATAAAGGTTTGAACAAAAACAAATAATGACACTGCCCGCAGTTCTGTAATATCCTAATGTCGTTCCAGATTGTTCTGAGGTCTGGCTATGTTCTGTATTCCCTATTTCCCTGAATACTCTTACAAAAAACCTCATCAATACAAGTAATAAACCAGTCTCTGCTCCCTAATGTGATGGAGCTTAACAAGCTCATAATCACAATTCATGGCTTAACAAATCAACTTTAAGCAAAACAAAGTTACTGTGTAATGGATAAGAAATAAAACACGGTTCCCACTCTTATAACGAATCTGATAGGCAACTCAATACGAATAGTACTTGAATCAGTGTAAGCACACGTTGTGTGTGTAACACTCTCCAGGACAGCCAACTTCTTTACAGGATTTACCTATTTTCAGGTCATGGACATAGGACACCATCAGAGCACCCTTATAAAAATCTCTCCAAAATGTCAAAGGTTCTGTCAGTAGAAAGTGACCTACTTAACTTTCATCTGTTTCCCTAAGGACAGCAATAAAGACTTCAATTTACAAGGCAAGAATTCTAGGCTCCTTAGATAGGAATGAAATTACCATCTCCTTTACTAGGTTGAGAATTACTTAGCACACGTGAATCCACAGCACCATAACTTTTTTTTTAAGGCATGGTAATCTTAATGATCATTTACATTAAGGTGGAAATTATGAACAATTAGCATTCCAGGCCTTACTTAGAGCACAGGGTTAATCAATGGGTTGAAAAAACCACTGTTCCTCTAAATTTCAGAGTGTTTTGCTTTCCATTTCTATGCTCTGTGCTTTTGAGAGCCATAATTAGGCACAGCGATGCTAGCGGCGGTGTGATTCACCAAGGCAGTTCAGTAGGAAATGACAGTTCTGGAATAAAAGGAATTAGCGGAGTCTTCAATACTTTGGCTTTGAGACTCCTCTCTGAACTTTGAAGGAAGGGCCTTGTCTATACTTTTGAGGACCCACAAGAGCAACAAAAAAGTGTCTTTCTAATTGAGTAACTCAGAGCCTATGAGGTAGAGGTTCCAGTCCAAACCAAACAACCATAACAATATGTTCAGAAAATCAACGACTCACATAGACTTTGCAGAAGACTCCCTAGAGGAGTACCAGACACACCAGGCATTTATTAAAATTAATTGAAGATGAAAATGAGATCATGGTGATGATTTATTCTGAGATCTGCCACTTTGGTAGATTTTTTTGGTTTGTTGTTTATTTGTTGTCAATTCATCTGCCTGAACACTTGGTCACGGGAGTAATTAGAGAGTCACTCATGAAGTGCTATCTGTGGTTTCTGTTTTTGCTGCCGCCCCAGTGCTGGCGAACATGCCCCCCACATCCCAGGGGAAAGCATCCCCCCTCTTCCACTCTACTCTCAGGCCTATCTCACCTATCAGCTCCAAGGTGGATATGAAAAAAACATCGGAAAGATCGTATTATTAATTTAATTAAAAGGTAACTGCAAATTGATCAAATAGTTGATGTACGATTTAGCATCCTCGGCTCTAACTGCCAAGCCTGGCTACTCAGGAAAGTAATCAGGCTGGCTAGTCTGCCTGCCTTCTGTACAGTCTAGATTTTATTCTTGGATGGAGCTGGGTTACCAGAGAGCTGTAAGCCTATAAGCTGTGTTGTTACTCCTCACACCTTCATCTTCAATGAAACCTGCTCTAGCACAACACCACCAGCCTGCACGGGGAACTTGAAGGAACAGCCTATGACATGTTACATCATCAATCAATTGCACTGATTTAGAGGATACCCTCCAATCTAAACAGCATATTTACCCCATCTCTTTTCTGAAAATCCATGAGAGAAATTTCCAAAGTATATCTTTGTTCGTTTGTTTGTTTTGTTGGTGCTGGGGATTGAACCCAGGGCCTCATACATGCTAGGCAAGTACTCTACCACTGAGCCACATTCCCAGCCCCTCCAGGTGTATTTTTCCAGAGAAATTATCTCTGTTTTTATATTGTAGACACTATAAATCTGTCATTTGTCAAACTATTAACTGCTATTTGGCATGTAATATGTGCTCAATAAAGTATTTATTAAACTAAAGTGTAGCGTAGTAGGGAGTAGTTTAACATGTTGTAAGCAAAATAGGGAGTGGGGAACCATTAACTCAAGGGTATTTTGTTATCTGATTAGCATCAGAATTCTCTCCGTGCTATGACCACTAAGTTGAGAGACAAATGTATTCCCTCACAAATTAATTGCTATCAGGAAATTTGAGCTCTGACTCTATCTTTGGCTTCACCTTACTTTCTGGAGTCAATTTTATCTTCATTCATTTTACCTTATAAGCAATGCATAACTTTTCCTGGAAAAAGATGGAATCACAATTTTTAAGATTTGATTATTAAGCCTTACCGTTCGTGTTGACACTTTTGGCCTTAATTAAAACAACCTTAAACGTGTCTGTTTTCTATTCCTCTTCTCTCATCTCCTCAAAACAATTAAGCTTGAATTTAGAAAAACTAATCTAGTTTCTAAATGTACTACTAATTTTCTTTAACTCTTCTATTGAATTTGTTCCTCTTCAAAAGCAGAAATATCACAATATCTTATTCATCTTTCTGTGTTCACCAAGAACTGACACACAGCTGGATCAATGCAGATGAGGCTTCTCAGAGCATTATCATTTTGGAAAATGAATGAGAAAGATACATACATTTAAAATGTTGAAAAGAGGCTGAATACTAGAATCTAATTTAGATTCTTTGGAGAAATACAGCCTGGATAATACATAAAGGCTTTATTTAAACTAAAGTGTAGTTTAGGGAGTAGTTTAACATGTTGTAAGCAAAATAGGGAGTGGGGGAACCATTAACTCCAGGGTATTTTGTTATCTGATTAGCATCAGAATTCTCTTCCTAGGTAAGTGAAAACTTTTCTCGCTCTATTGCATTTATTCCCAAGACTCAACAGAGAGGGGTTCTAACAGTGGAAACTTAATTCAGGATTTCTGAAACTAGAATAAATTCATACCAGTTTCTGTCCTGGTTTTTTCCTCTGCTTTCTACCTATAAGCTCTTGTTACAAAATGAAATTATGACTCTACAGCCTTTTTGATAAAAAAAACTTCTTTAATAGAACTGTAACTTTTGTATCCTCAATCCCCTTCCATATTTATCACATGAAAGTAAATATCACATGGTTATAATGTATAAAAAAAAAAAAAAAATAGTAGGAGGAAAAGTTGGAAAGAAATGACTATGGACAGCTTTAAGTTAAATATGACACCTAATCCTGTATGTGGCTGTCCAAATGTTTTGATTATCTAGAACATTTCTTTATAGATTCTAACTATAAAAATCATTGACTGACAATGAGAATCATTTCTTATGTAGGTATTTTTCTTTAAAATATTTGTGGTAAAGGGTTTTGAGGCATTCTATCCTGAGAATAAATTGATAATTTAATACTGACACCATATCCCCCAAAGACCTAATGGCAGCTTTAACCAAAGGGTTCTGTATTGATCTATTTTCTGTTACTATAATGAAATGCCTGAGGCTAGAGAACTTTATTAGAAAAGAGGTTTATTTAGTCCACAGTTCTGTAGGTTGCGGGGCCTGGTGCCAGCAACAACTCAACTATGGTGAGGACCTCAATGATGACAGCACAACAATCGTGGGAACATGTACATGACAGAAGAGATCATATGGCCAGACAGGAAACCAAAGAGTCTGGGGAACAGCCAGGCTTGTTCTTTTATAATAACCTTTTTGAAAGAACTGACTCAAAGGGCCCATGATAACTATACTTTAATCCCAGAGCAGCTCCCCCAGTGACCTAAGGACCTCCTACTACCCCTCAACTCTCAAAGATCTCACAACCCTCAATATCATCATGCTAAGATCAAAGTCCCTAACACATCAACTCTTGAGGACTACTTTCAAACCAAATCCAAACTACAGCAGACTCCAAAGGGCTATGGAAATGAAATAGGAGAGTTAAATATACTGACATGGAAAGATATCCAGGACTTATCGTGGAGTTGATAAAACAATATAAACAGCATGATCTCATTTGTGTAAAAGCAAAACAAAACACACCTAGGTAATTGTGAGGGAGCTGTTTTTATCTGCTTAGTAGGTGTCTATCCATGCCCAATCTCCTTTCTCACAATGTCTTCTTTCTGTGGAGAGTCCCTTGCTTTGGAGTGGACTGACCCCACCTCCCAGTCAGCCTAAGTATGTGACCCAGTCCTGGTTAGTCAGAGAAATCCTGTGACATTCAGCAAGACCTGTCTAGAATGGCTTGTTCTTTTGCTTGGGGTTGCGAAGCTGGTAACTGCTGGAGGCCAGACTGTTGCTGGAGGAAAAGGCCCAAACGGGAAGCCCAGCAGAAGCAAGCATGATCACAAACCAGAAATAGAGCCCTGAGGACACACTCTGACCCTGGAGCCAGCTGTTCTTAATTCCAAGATTCAACATATTACCCTTTTAGTGTATGTTGGGGACTAGGGGGAGTCTCAACTGCATTTAAATTGGATCTCTGTGATTCTCTATGGAAAATACAAGAAAGTTAGAGAGATGCCACACTGCTGGGGTTAGAGAAAGAGTAAAGTGTCCAAGAGCCAAGGACTGCAGGCAGCAGGAGTCCTGCCCTGGAGGGTTCCCTAAAAAGACACCGCCCTGCAGACCCATATAGACTTCCACCTACACAAGTGGAAGATAATATTGTGGTGGTGTTAACTGGCCACCAGAAATGATTTCTTACCACAGAAAGATGTGGAAAGCTCCTGGAGGATCCTACATGCTATCACTATGGAATGGAAATGGGAGTGGGAAGTGAAAAGGGGAAATTTTATAACTTTCAAACTTTAAGTATATATCAAATCATTAAGTTTGAAAAAAAAAACTAATCTTAACCATATTTAACATTCTTAACACAATCTAAGAATCCCAGATATTCTCACCCACCCAGGGAAGTCAGAATAGCAGGTGCTTACAAGTCTAACCGGGCAGCACTGGTGTGGCCTGTGAGGAATTCCAACCAGCATCAGAACTGTGCTGTTTAACACGAGAGGCTGGCCACTGCACCACTCACACCACACAGCTGGTTAGACCTGACCCTTCCACCTAGTCCAGTTCCACTGGCAGGATTTCCACTACTATGCAGGAGTCAGGACACAGCTTTCAGATATATTCTTGAAGTCGATTTTGGAGACAGGGCCGGGGAGGTTTGAAAGCCAGAACAGTAATTGCCCCAAGATTACAATTTAGCATAATTTTCTACAGAAAACCAACAAATTGCCAACAAATTGCTATGCTAATGAAGAATTGCCCTGCTCTGCAGTGAGCATGTACCAAAAGACAACTTATTTATGCCACTCTGTAGAACTAGCTGCTGTGCAGGAGATTCCCTGCTGAATTTTAAAAGGCTTTCATGCAGGGAAAGGAGGAAAGCATGAGAGTTGGCTGCTTTGGCCATTTCTCTCCAGTCATTTCCTTATCCAGTGCTTAAGACATAATGCCAGGCAGCAAGCTGGCCCAGCGCACCGGGCAACTACGGCTTTCTATGTTACGGGCTTTCATAATGCCCAAGGCAGAGGCCACAGGCTATGGATTCCTCAAGAAGCTTTTGAAAAAGAAAAACATCTGCTCCCCCAAATGCCACTACTAACAAGTCAGTCAGTGGTGCTTCTCACATTGAATGCACACCTTTTCTAAATGCACTTCATTTTACTTGGACAACAGAAGTAAGTCAAATTGAAAGGAAGAACGGTCCACTTGGCCACATACAGAACGGCTTTGATCTGTCTCAAGTGCTATCTAGATGCAAAGAGGAATAAGGCAAGAAAACAATGCAGCCCGAGCCTCCCCCTGCTGTTTAGCCTGGTCACGGTCACGTGTTCAGGGAGGGTGGCGAGACAGTAGAAGATTTATATTTTGGTTTTCTACTTTTTTCTCCTTGTTTTCTACCTTCCTTTTCTTAATTTAAAAGCTGGTTGCAAGTTCAAAGCCACCCTGGGTAACTTAGTGAGACCCTGCCTCAAAATTAAAAATAATAGTAGAGTGGAGATGTAGCTCAGTGGCAAAGCACTTGCCTCACATGTGTGAAGTCCTGGGTTCAATCCCCAGTACTTCAGTCACTCCATCGAGGATATGGCTAGAAGAGAAAGAAAATACACCAAGGCCTAGGCTAACATGTAACATTTAAGGGATCTGAATAAAATATACTGCAGATGCATGTCATCCTTTGGACTTTTCCATCTGTCTACCAAGAACAAACTAAGTCATTTTTAGATCCCAACTAAAGACAGAAGGCTAATTCAATAATTAAGGTAAAACATTTATATTTTTATATAAAACATTTATATCAAATTTATATAAACATATTATTATATTAACATTTATATAAAACATTTATATTTTTATGTCTGAAAAAAAAATTCAGTTATAAAGTAGAATTTTTAGACTGTCTTCTGTCCTAGAAGCAAAAGTTTTAAACAGCATAAGGATAGTTAAGTAGTTAGAGTGCTAGATTTCACTTTCTGCAGGTAGTATATCTTAAAAAGACTTCAGTGGAGATTATTATTTCACTATAATCAGAAAAACCTAGAAACAGATTCTAGTCACAAATATATATATAACATAACATAATCTTGAAGGGGGTCCTAGGCATCATGCCTTGTGCCTGCTAGGCAAGTGCTATGCCACTGAGCCTCAGCCCATCTTTTAGAAGCAGATTCTTATAAAGCTTTTGAATATTTTTATTTCAGGCATCTCAGTTCTTTCTTTCAACTTTCTATAGTCTAGTTAGGGTCCATGTCCCACTCCCTACCAAAAAATTAAAATAAGTATTTTAATAACCATATTAAACTGATATTGCTTGACCATGTGACAAAAATAATAATTGGAGTAACACCTCAACATTTACAAAGCATTTGCCCAAATGCAACTCTGTCTTTACAACAGTGTTACCTATGTAAAGCAAGTATTATTTCCTTGCTTTCCCGAAGGAAAATGAGTAAAAGCATCATTTTCCTTATTTCCCTGAAACATGCCTCTGACACTCACCTGCCAACATCCAAGGGTCAGATGCCCTGCTGGGCAGCAGGTGACCAATCACTTACCAACACACAGGATGTTGAAACAGAATCCTTGAGAAGTAGACTTGTTGACCAATTGGTCCGGGAGACTGTCAAATCCAACATGGCCAGAAAGGGACAAGTTTCGAAGCTCTTCATTCTGGAATTTCAAAGAAGAAACATTTGAGAAGCCATGAACTATACCACCAAACATAACATATTACAGACATTACCTCTTCCCTTCTCTCCTTGATATGTGTGGACAGAAAGAGACTGCCCAGTGTCTACACCCTCCTTGGCTTCTTCACAACAGAGGGCACTAACAACTCCAAAGCCATGCTCTTTCCACAATGTCACCAAATCTCCTTTCTAAAGCAGACTGTATCCCAGGGTGCTTCGTGTGTTATTGTTTTTATTAGGTGTACTGATCCTAAAAAACATAAGCTTCTAGAAGTGCTATTTCAGATATACATTAACTAACATTAAAAAAAAAAAAGACTCTAACCATTTTGATAGTGTCCATCACTCAAGGAAAACTTTCAATTTATTTTCAATGCATAGTTAAACAAACCAACACTCTTCCAGATATATAAAGGAGCTTTCAGAAGCTCACAGTGGAGGATATATACTCATTACAATTAAGGCAATGTTATAACCACCATAATGCAATATATTAAAAACTAAGTGCACAGACTGGTTCCATCTCCTCCATTTACTGTGCAAGCTTAGTGAGGGCTTCTCTGCTCTCTGCACAGTTGCTAGCACAGGCTTTGTACTCCCAAGAGCTTCTCAGAATGTACTGATGGACATTGGGGTAAAGTAGTTATCACACATTTAAAAAGTCGGTAACTTATACTGCTTTATAAGATAACGCTGACTGCTTCTACAACTTTATGTGTGTCTCATGAGTGTTATGGATAATGTAGGAAACCTTGCTTTCCTGGGGAACAGAACTCACCGATGGTCCTTCAATTGTAATACCATGATTATGTTTTACAATTCCAGAATCTGGATACTGAGAGTCTTCCCATTGAAAGCAAGATTCCTGGTAGTCTGGCTGTGTTACCAATGAAATTTACATTCAAAACACTGAAGTCCAGGTGAGGAAATGAGCCTCACTGATCCTTTAAAAAAAAAAAAAGAAAGAAAGAAAAGAAAAGAAAAAAAGAAAGAAAAGGAAAAGGAAGCCAGGCATGGTAGCACAAGCCTGTAAACCTAGCAACTCAGGAGGCTGAGGCATGAGGAGGACTGCAGGTCTCAGGCCAGCCTCAGCAACTTAGCAAGACCCTGTCTCAAAATCAAAACTAAACAGGGCTGGAGATGTGGCTCTGCAGTAAAGTATCTCTGGGTTCAATTCCCAGTACCACAAAAGGGGAAAAAAAAAAGAAAAGTTTTGCATGGAATTACTTACTCGATGATTTTTAAAGACTGGTTTTCACGATCCTATTCTATATTATATTATTATGAGAGTGATTTCTTTTAATAATCAAAGACTGAGACTCCAATTTCAAATTCCTATGGTTACAAAATAGAGAGACAATAATGTGACTTCATAAATGTAGTAATTTAATGGGTTTTAATGGTTTTACTAACAACAATGTCTAAAATCCATACCAGCTCTAAAATTCTGATTCTGTGAACTAAAACTAAAACCCGACACACTGTATGAATACATGCTGGCAGCTGCAGGTCTGAGGTCAATAGGACACAACAGATGTCTAGTCTATGAATAGTTTCCTTGAAACCTGCCAAAAGCAGCGAATATCAGACTCAAGAGCAGTCACTTATGCTTTAACAGGATGGCATGGTCCACAGCTCACCAAACAGCTTCGGGAGCAGGCCCAGTGGGCAGCAGTCCTGGTAGCCGGACAAGCCTCCTACCAACAGTGGACTTCTTCCAACCCCAATTCTAGTACCTGCCCCTTCCTCTTCAGATACCTCAAAAGTTCAGACAGCAGGTATTTTTAGGGTGTTTACCACATCCGCCAAGACCTGGGGGAGGAGGATTTGAAATAAGTCCTGGGTTATATTTAAAACTGTTTCCATCACAGCTGCTGCTGCGCACCAGGCTGGGAGTCGCCATTGCAACAGCTTCACTCTCACCATGCAGACCTGAGTAGCTGGGGAATGAATGGCCTGCACATAGAAGAGGCGAGGAAGGTGCATTCCGTCCACTCGCCATCACAATCATTCCTTTAATTTCTGGGGGGCTGGGGGGTTACTGCTGTGGATTCTAGCTTATTGGGTTTCTAGAGACCAGATATCCACCCATGAGCCAATCTTAGGGCAGAATCAGAGTTAGTAATTATAGCTCTCATCCCAGAACCCAAAGCTCAGCATCTCATATTCTCACCGCTTTCCAAAACATGAGAAACCACCCACACACCCACAGAGTATTTTTATACCCATTGAAAACCACATACAAAATGAAGGGTTATAAAACATTTTGGTCTTGGAATTTTTGAAATTTAAAGTTTCGTCTTTAGAGTCTCTGTCTTCTTTGTGAAATAAAATACGTAAATTTTATAATGCTGTTTTTATAGTGAGATGGTATCTTAGGGTGGTTTTGATTTGCATTTCTCTGACAGCTAGAGATGTTGAGCATTTTTTCATGTACTTGTTGATTGACTGTATGTCCTCCTCTGTGAAGTGTCTGTTCAGGTCCTTGGCCCATTTGTTGATTGGGTTGTTTGTTCTCTTATTGTCTAATTTTTTGAGTTCTTTGTATACTCTGGATATTAGGGCTCTATCTGAAGTGTGAGGAGTAAAGATTTGTTCCCAGGATGTAGGCTCCCTATTTACCTCTCTTATTGTTTCTTTTGCTGAGAAAAAACTTCTTAGTTTGAGTAAGTCCCATTTGTTGATTCTAGTTATTAACTTTTGTGCTATGGGTGTCCTATTGAGGAATTTGGAGCCCGACCCCACTGACTGTAGATCGTAGCCAACTTTTTCTTCTATCAGACGGCGCGTCTCTGATTTGATATCAAGTTCCTTGATCCATTTTGAATTCACTTTTGTGCATGGCGAGAGAAAGGGATTCAGTTTCATTTTGTTGCATATGGATTTCCAGTTTTCCCAGCACCATTTGTTGAAGATGCTATCCTTCCTCCATTGCATGCTTTTAGCCCCTTTATCAAATATAAGATAGTTGTAATTTTGTGGATTGGTTTCTGTGTCCTCTATTCTGTACCATTGGTCCACCCGCCTGTTTTGGTACCAGTACCATGCTGTTTTTGTTACTATTGCTCTGTAGTATAGTTTGAAGTCTGGTATCGCTATACCGCCTGATTCACACTTCTTGCTTAGCATTGTTTTTGCTATTCTGGGTCTTTTATTTTTCCATATGAATTTCATGATTGCTTTCTCTATTTCTACAAGAAATGCCATTGGGATTTTGATTGGCATTGCATTAAACCTATAGAGAACTTTTGGTAATATCGCCATTTTGATGATGTTAGTTCTGCCTATCCATGAACAGGGTATATTTTTCCATCTTCTAAGATCTTCTTCTATTTCTCTCTTTAGGGTTCTGTAGTTTTCATTGTATAAGTCTTTCACCTCTTTTGTTAGGTTGATTCCCAAGTATTTTATTTTTTTTGAAGATATTTTGAATGGAGTGGTTGCCCTCATTTCCATTTCAGAGGATTTGTCGCTGATATACAGGAATGCCTTTGATTTATGCGTGTTGATTTTAAATCCTGCCACTTTGCTGAATTCATTTATTAGCTCTAATAGTTTCTTTGTAGAGCCTTTTGGGTCTGCTAGATATAGAATCATATCATCTGCAAATAGTGATAATTTAATTTCTTCTTTTCCTATTTTTATGCCTTTAATTTCTTTCGTCTGTCTAATTGCTCTGGCCAGTGTTTCGAGAACTATGTTGAAGAGAAGTGGAGAGAGAGGGCATCCCTGTCTTGTTCCAGATTTTAGAGGGAATGCCTTCAGTTTTTCTCCATTCAGAATAATGCTAGCCTGAGGCTTAGCATAGATTGCTTTTACAATATTGAGGTATGTTCCTGTTATCCCTAGTTTAAATTTCAAAATTTGAATCGAATTCTCTCCCCAGTATTAAAGGAGAGTCCCTGCCCTATCAGCATGTGGTGGTCAAAAAGGAAATAGAAGTTCCTCCTCTGGTGCATGAGCAATCTTAAAAACCGGAAAACACTGGAGGAAATGCAAGGAGTGGCTCAGAGCAATTTACCTGGTGACTCACACACAGCAGCTGAACTGAATTCCTACACCCAGCATTTGAGGGCACTTTCCTTAGCTGTCACTCACTATCCGAGGAATGCAGGATCTCATTTGAGTCTATAGTCCCAGTTTTAAGAAACTGTATATATTCCTACATTCCTAATACTATCACAGATCTATAATTGACTCCCCCAATTTTACCTCCAATACTGAACTCTTCACCCAGTTCTTGATTTTTATCATAGCAGGGCTGTTTTCTTGGGGTTTCCTATCTACACTGCAAGCTGATGTTCACAAAACTGAAATCATTTCCTTCTAAACCCAGCGGTCCCTATTTCTGTTAATACTACTGACTTATGCTGGAAACCACCTCCCCTACCACCAACAACTCCAAAGGCTTAGCAATGCTACATCCTCCCCCACTCAACTCCTACTAACTCCACACCTCCCTGTCTCCATTCCATCCCTCTCTAATTCTTCTTCCCTCTATATCTTGTGGCCAAAGGCATCTCAGAACTCACAGGCTGCCAATCCAAACTCCTTGGCTTGCCATCTCAGGTCCCCCAGGGGCTGAAGCCACTTCACCCAGGGAGCACCTGGTGCTGCGGTTAGACTGAATTATTCTCTGTGCCTGGGACAACAAACCCAGGGATCTGCCCCTCAGAGAACAGGGACTCACACTATTTCGTCTTATCAGGAAGGACCTCATACCCAATATTAACACATACAAACCTTCCAGATTCTACTGAAATTCTACCTGCCAAATCAGTCCTATTATGAAATCTCAGGAGGAGTTTCAGTGAACACTTTCCTTGTCAATAAAAGGAAAATCCTGATTGAAATAAGGGTGGCTCAAGCTATTTGACATTCTGTGATCATCATCATAACGGCTAACATTTATTGACCATCAGAATGTTCCAGAAAAGCCCCAAACACAAATGAACTGATGAAAATAGAGGAACACTAGTT